TGTTGTGATGCTTTAAGCATTTCATTTGAAATATTGTCTAATCAAGGTGTTTTTTTTTTCAACTTAAGTTTAGAAAATGCTTCTTGTAAGACTGCGAAACATTAACTGGCAAAATTGGAAATATGCAGCTTACGTCATTTCCATCTGTTACACTCAAAATATTTAATGATAGACAATGAAATGGGCGATTACAATTCGACACGGACGTCCGAGAAAACATTGGATTGAAATTCTAGTTTGAAATTTATTTTCAGTCCACCTCAGCTACAGTAGAACGCACGGTGTTACTGATTGACCTAGAAGACAAATAATTTCAATTTCTGAATAGTTTGAAATTTATATTAATCAGAATTTTCTGTCCAGTGTTTTTAAATAAATATAAAGGGACAAATATTTGATTTCTGAGAAGGTTTGGTATGTGTGTGTTGGAGGGGGGGGGGGGCTAAACGATCTTGGAAATAAATAAGAATTGAACAACCCCTCCCTGTTTTTGTTTGTCAAACATTTTTCAGTGAAGAAGAAACAAAAAAAGCTCCTGTCATCCTAGAAATAAATATATTCTGTCACGTGAAGACATGATGTGACTTCACGATTTTTGACAATCCCTCTAGAATCAAATGGCTGTCACCTGAAAAAATAATGTCTGCATTCTAATACTTTTACGTGTCCTAAAAATTATAGGCTAAAAACCTCAAAAATATAAATTTCATTTCAATGTATTTGGGAATTGAAATTAATTGTCTTTTGGATCACACTTTAGGTTTGAAAATAGCTGAGGTGGATTGAAAATGAATTTCAAACTAGAATTTCAATTCAGTGTTTTCTAGGACGTCCGTGTCGAATTGTCTAATCATTTTGACGGTAACAGATGGAAATGACGTAAGCTGCATATTTCCAATTTTGCCAGTTCTGCGGTCTTAATTCCGTGTTTGTAATTTTTTTTTGTCTAGCATGGAAAAACTGCAATTATTATGTTCCATTACCTTTAGCTTTTCTCCTAAAGTATCTATAATTTTTTTTGCATATTATCTGAAATAGAAGTAAGATCTGAAAAATATTGGAACCAATTATCACCCTCGATGCAGTTTTGATCACCTATTTTTTTCATTCCGAATCTGGTTCATTAGGGACCAGTACTCTTTAGGATTATTAGACTCTAATTCATCAAGCTGGTTTAAAATGCTTTGTTTAAATTTTCTTCTCTTTTTTCCCCTTAGTTTTGAATATTGTTTGTTTAATTTGAAAAAAGGAACCTCGCATGTTCGGATCTTTAGGGAAATGAGACAGAGTTAATGCTTTATTTTGAACCAGTTTTTTTCTTCATTTTTAATAGGTCTTCATCAAACATTTCTTGTTTTCCATTTTTAACTTCTTCTTTTTCTTTAGTGAAGCTATACAAACTTTATTATAAATCATATGAACATTGTTAGTGGCATTATTTATTCCAAAATTAATTGTCTAAAGAGATTTCTTCATCTAAGAACTGTCTCATTTCCTTTTGTATTACAGGGTGTGCAAAAGTCTCTTGAAAATTTAATGCGTTATTTGCATTCCAAACATATCTCACAGGAAAATCATCTAATCTAGAATCATTATTCATACATTCATTATCAAAAGATGCTAAAATCTTAAAAGAGAGTTTACAGTGGCAATAAAAAAAATTGCTTTAAAATCTGATACACCCATATAAAGAATATCATGAAATAAAGTTTGTGAGACAAGCACATAATCAACTACACTACATCCATAAGACTTTGCCTGAACTATCAACAAAGCACCTTCCATTCACAATACGTATTTGGTTACTTATGCAAAATTCTGATAAATCTTGCCTCTAAGATCAACAACATTATCTTGGCTAACTCTCTAGATCTGTTCAATCACAACATCAATATTATAGTTATTATTGTTATATAACTGGAATGTGGAGGATACTGTCTCCTGCTATATAGTCTGCATCTGATCCTGTTCTGGAATTAAAATCACCATGAATATCTCCTAAATTCTTATATTTCTCTAAAATGTTATTTTCCAGTCAGGCGCGGATCCAGGAATTGAAGTTAGAGGGGGCGCCAAACGTAGGTAGGGGGTCTGGGGGCCACCTTGAGGCCCCCAGTGGGTCCAGGGTGAAGCCCTGGTTTGGGCTTAAGGGGTGAAGCCCCCGAAAGCCCCTGGATTCTAGAGATTTTGTAGGGTAAAAATGAGGTCTACCAAGTAGACATTTTTACATTTTCTCTAAGAAAATATGATTTACGCTAACTTTGACAATTTTAGGGGGGGGGGGGGGTCGGGCGCCGGGTGCGCCCCCCCCCCCTTAAATCCGCCACTGCCAGTAATCCTAATAAGTCAGTATTACTTTTTGGTGCATAATATACAATGCATAGATATATATCTCTCTTAAAATTAAAGTAATCCCTACACAATTTTATCCACTGGTATTCTGAAGTGCCAGCATTAAGGATCTTAATTCCCTTTTTAATGCTTTTACGTAAAGAAAGGATGCCTGGATTGGTATATATTATGAGCCTATTTTATTGTAAACCATCAGTGATGCAAATAATAAATTTCTAAAATATTAAGAAATTTTAAACCTTCTATGCTGTTCAAAATTCTACCTTTCTGCAACCATCCTTATTAATCTTTACAAATTTTTGTCACTTCAAATCCCATTATTGTGAAACTTTGAATGAAATACTAAAAACTATGCGGTTAAACTTGTTCATTTTACTTATATACACAGGACTCAAGTTGTTATTTTCAAATTTTTTGATAAAAGTTTGTTTTTATCACCTGTCCTTAAACGAATTCTAAAATTGTTATAACGATTTCAAAATTTGTTAAAACGAATTCTTTAATGTAATAGCGAATTAAATTCTTGTAGACGAATTCGAAATTCGTTATTTCGTAAATATTTTCTGACTATAGGCCCTAAATGTCGAATTCTATTCAACGAATTTAATTCGTTATAAAAAAAAATGAAGAAATTGTTTAAACGAATTTAATCTGTTATATCAATTTAAAAAAAAATCGCTTTCACGAACTCAACAAATCTTTCATAACAAATCAAGTTTAATTCGTGCTAACGTATTCGAAAAAATGCTATATAGCAAATTAAATTCGTTTTTAAAAATTCGAAAATTCGTTATATCGATTTCACAAATATTTTTTGATAGGTCCTAAATGGGCTTCTGTATGCATGAAAAAACAAGTTATTATATTTTAAGACTTCAATAATAAAAAGATTTGTTTGTCCAAGAAATTTTAAAGAAAAATTTACATTCTGAGATACTGGTTTCAGAAAGGTAAAGGCAGACCTGCATTTGATTTTTTTTCAGGTTATCGAATATTTACGTTATTCTAATATATACAAAGTATCTCATACATATTATCAGATGGACTGTTTGTTCCACTTTTTTTCTGTATATGAATTTCTTCAAGAGTTTAACATCATGACATCAGATTCTTACAACTGCCTGATCATATGAGGTTTGCCGAATTAATTTTTTTTATGAGGAAGAAGGGGCGTTGGAAAGGGGGAAGGGTTCTTTTCATGTATACTAAATCTCACAAAATAGAAGACCCAACAAAATCTAGTTGTGAACAAAATAAACGAACAATTATATAAGCAGATACACTGAAGGTTAAAAATTAAGGAACGGTAACGTTATGGCTTATTATGTAACTACAAGGCCAAACATTATGAAAACCGGTTAGTGGAGTATCTCTGATGTGTACAAAAACTTGTACCCAAAATTACTCAATGAGCAATGTCTAACATCGTGTAAGACCTTGCAAAGAATCATCTTAATATTGTAGATGAACTAGAATTTTGTACACACTTACAATAATAATCTTGAAACAGAGTTTCGTGGTGAAAATATGGATCACGTTTAGTGCTGATTTTTCAACAACCGACTGATTTCCGATTTATGGATTTCGACAGAATTCACTACTGCAAAAGATTTATTCTTTTATCACATTGGTGATAACAAATAAGTTTGTTCACTTTCCATGTTTACTGAGCGAGAAAGGTGGATGGGGGTGTCATCTCAATACATATATTGCTTATATTTTTACTGACATGATTAAGAAAATACGAAGAATATAATAGAGAATATCATAGACATATTGTCAGTCTCTTCATCAGCCCTCTGCCATTAACATTAGTCTGTTGTTTCTCTAGCCAAGCGTTTTTAAAAACAATCTAGAGGACTATTGTAAAGCAGACCCTCAAAAGGAACACAGTATAGGTACCTAGATGCATGTATTTTTATTGGTTTTAAGAGCCAATCTGTCTGAAAACTGTGCAAAAACAAAATTTTTGTGTTTTTTTTTTCAATTACATGTACATATTAGGTGGTCTTCCTATACACCAAATTTCATCAAGATATGGAAGCCTTCGATTTGGACAGTATTGCATGATGTTATGGCAGACCGGCCCCTAAACGAGCTTTAAGTAAGGGTCAAAGAATATTCAGCATCTGAAAAAGAGTGTACACACTACACCATTTACTCCTCAAACAAGTCATTGAAATAAATGATGACAAATAATATAAATATTTTATTTATACAATATGATTAATGTTAAAATGGAGTTTAAATGTCTTATTATTAATCATAATTTTACACCAATATTTTTCTTCACCAAAGGAGAACATTTCTAATTACTTACACATGTAAGTATCTCAAAAACTTAAAGATGAATTGGTGTCATTAAAATGAGTTATACATTTTATAAAATTTACAATAAAAAGAAGAGGAAGTTTAAAAGAAAAGAAATTTTAAAAACCCAATGCAATACAACTGAACATAGGAAAACTGATACACATTAAATGTCAACAATGTTAAATGACTGTACTGCTTTATTTCCAAATTGGAAAAAAAATCTTTAAAATGAGCAGAAATTGTACCAATAAAAGATGACCATCATCTTTGTTTTAAAATAATTCCAACATTTTTACTGTTGCTCTTAAATTATAAAAAAAAAATTCTGTGTTCAGTAAATTTCTTTATAAGACAATCTAACATTTTCAAAAATTACATACTGTAAATGTACATACAGTGTATGTAATTGCAGCATTTTTTAAAGACACTTTATAAAAAAAAATTATATTGTCAGACCATGTAAGATTGATAAATCATAAAACTGATTTAGGTAAATAAATAACAATTGCCCAATTGGCCTTAAACATCACTTGAATATCATTTAACAACTTTCATCCTTGTAAATTAAAAAGAAAATTACAAAAATGACAAAGGATGTAACTTTAATTGATTACTTAATTAATTTGGAAATTTTTAAATAAATACCAGGAAATTGCATTCATTTAAGCAATGACAGAAGATTAATGCCACAATTTAGATATCACCACATTTCAAGCACATATAGTATTGTTTTTGAAGGGGGGGGGGGGCAGCCAGAAAAAATATTTGACAATGGAGTTCCAACTTTTTCCACAAAGGACAAGGTATGGATACAGCTGAATTTGGCCCCCTATTTGACATAAAAATCAAAACACCTTAAAATTGTGATAGTTTGCAGTCAAGAACTTTAAATGATGCTTGTTTCAAAATCAGCACTAAATTTGATCAAAGCATACAAGGAGGCCACAAGAGGGTGCCAAAGTACAACATTTTACCAAATTTCTTCACTCCTGGTGGAATTTTGCCAAATTTGAAAATTAATGCTTTTCACTTCGGGAAACATAGAGCAAAAGCTTGCCTATCTGAGATTTTTATAAGATGCATGTGATACATGTACTTGTGCATGAAATATTTAACTTTGGTAGATAGGCAAGCTTGTGCTCTGTGTTTTCTGAAGCATAATCTGCTTAAAAATTGATGAAAATGTTCTTAAAATGAGACAAATTAAAATCAATATTCACTTTGAATCGGAGATGACCACAAGTTTTTTTATGATGAACTATTGCATTGTCCTTAGAGAAACCCCAAGCTAGGGGGCAAAAAAGGGTCTTAGTCTATCCTGTCCTTTATTAATGCATTATCATGGGACAATTTGACTTTACTGCCAAAAAAAGTGTGGGCCAACCTCCCTTTCAATGAAAATTGTCAACAGTAAAAGGTTATATTTGGAAAAAAGTCGGGGACAGCCCCCCCCCCCCCCCCCCCCCCCATGTGTCTGAAAATTTAATTTAAGATTTATTGCCAGTCTTGGTTTCATCTCAATTTGAAGTAGACGTGAATAATTAAGTAGGATATTTCAGTTCAAGACTGCAATTTACACTTCTTTTTTTTTTTTTTTTTTTTTAAGAAAAGGCTAAAGTATGGGAGTGGGGGTGGGGTGGGGTGGGATTACTGTTTAAAGAAAACTGTGTCTTTAATCTTCTGTATAAAAAGTTATTGCACAAATATAACTTCATATGATAAGCTTGTCACACAAGAGTGAAATGTTCAATGGATAATTCTGTCAGATGTCTCAGAATAGAAATCACATGCTCTTCTGAATAAATCTGAAAAATAGAAATATGAAAACAATAAACATCAATAGCACTAATGGAGCTTTTCTTAAATTACAATAAAAGCAAGGAAGTATCCCTATTTCAGCAATTACAAACTGAAGTGATCTGTAGATCACAGACTATTTACTGTAAATCCCTTTTTATTCACAAGAACTTCATTTTCAAGAAATTATGTGAGACAGTCTGCTCACCAAAATTATATTCTCACGTATATTTGTATTCTTAAAGATTATTTAGGGCAAAAACAAAAATTTGTGAATTTTTTGTCTACTTAATAAAGAGTAAATGACTATCTTGCTAAAATAAGGTGTCACAAAAAATTTGTTGATCTACAGTACAGACTTGTCGAAATTTTGAAATCACTGTCAGACATTTGGTCTGACAAAGTCAAATGTTCTGTCTGACCGGACGAAGTTTTGTCAGACCAGATACTTGTACCTTATTTTGACGCTGAGAAAGGAAAATAAATAACAGCACCAAAATGCCCTTTATCATTTTCAACAGCCTTCAATCTCACAAGTTTCTTTTCTTAGGATAGAGAGTCTTTAATAAGAGACATAAATAACATATTTTATGTCTTTGCTGTAACAATTTAAATTGACCATCGTCCCCATGCTGATCACACAGTCATCTTTTCTGTGTTTGTGACCTTCAGTTGCGCATCCCGATCTCGACTTTTTTAAAATTTGCATCACGCTCGATTTTTTCAAAGGGTCATTTGGACCGACGTTTTCTTAAAAGTTATCAGTCCAGACAAATTTTTACCAGCCCTGCCGACAGGACCGACAGATTTCGACAAGTCTGACAGTATTGAATAAAGTGCTGCCTACCACATCTATGTGAAATCATATTTTGGAATAGTGAATAAGTGCACTAAAGAAAGTTCACTTATATGTTATTGAAAAGTATTTCTTCTGCTTGCCTTTGTACTAAAGCACCTTAGCTCAATAAAAACTAACCTTTCAATTTACTGGTTTAATAATTACATGCTTAAAAGAAATCAATTTTAATTTTACTCTTTGTTCTTGGCCAGGATGGTAATTAAACATGATCCAAAGAAATACACAGTGTATATTTATAAACAAAGTTACATACCTTAAGTAAACCCTCTCTACCAATGTAACATAAGGAAGTACCAACACATGACAACTGCATTGCCTACAATGACCGATTAATCTATTAACCATAAGCAATATGAACAATTAGTGTTTCTTTTTACAATTAAACTTAAAATACATTATTAAAATTATGTCAAAATCAAGAACTTCATATAAAGAAGAGATCAAAATTATCAATTGATTCTCAGCACACACAGAGGTACAGAGGATGAAAACTACAGATAACATATTTTAGTCAAAATGGGATGATGACATGAACTGTTAATTTCAAAGGTACACAACTTTGAATAAACTAGGTAAACTTCCCAGTCAAGTCTTTGTTAGTATTTTTTTTATACTTGTACTTTGTACCAATATTATTACTTTTGGAAACAAGTATCCTCTCTGTCACATATATGTGTATAAATCAAATTTCTTTCCTATTTGTAGTAGTACATCACTACATGTAGTAGTAGTACTAATAGTACATGCAAAAACAAATGTACTTTTTTTTCATTTATGAAAAGTTCTTGTCTCTTCTCACAAGGACATCATTTTTTTGAAACACATTACAACAAACATATTACATCATAAATGGCTATTAAAATAAGTATTGTTTTAAAAAAGAATATCATTTAAAAACTCACATTTAGCTTTATTCTAAAAAGCGAATAAAAATGTTCCTCTAGACACGAAAGGAAAGTTGTCATCTCCTCTTCTGTGAACATATCTGATCTGTGATCATGAATGCTGGAAAATGTTACAAACATCATTGATTATTGTACTGGGGTAAAATTATGAACTTAACTAACACTGTAGTTATACTGATATATTTCATAAATAACTAGAAATCTGACCAGTCAGCAAGGGCCCCGCTGAGGGTTAGAAATATTAGGGTGCAGATTAGGGGATAAGAATTTTACTTGATTCCAAAAAATTTCAAAATATATAAAGAATAAGCAACAGCAACTGCTAAATATCCAACAATCTGTAAATAGTATCCTTGTATTTACATAAGGCAGTAAAAAACATCATATCTATAATAACTCAATTAAATGTATATTTAAAAATGAATGAAGCATGTGTTTTCTAAAATGCCAGCCTTCAGTGAATGCAAATATCACCCAGGCTTGACCTTTACTTCAAAACAAATATCAGTTGCAGACAAAGGTGTTAATTAATCTTAAAGTGACAGAAAGATAACCCTCTAAAATATTCTGCAAACCAGCAAGATAATCAAACCCACGGGATTAATTATACTGCTCTCTCAACCTTTTCTTCTAAGTTTACAATAAGAACTTTTTCAGCAATGATAGAATGAGGTTATTATCTGAATACCTGTCAAAATAAATAGTATTCTTGAATTTACATAAGGCAGAAAAAAAGAAAAAAAAGAAAAAGAAAATAATAATAAAAACGATATCTTTATCTATATCTTGTTTTTAGAGTTCAATAAAATCATAACTCATTTTGTATTTTAACAAAATAAAGTATGAACATTATTTAAATCCACATTTCAGAGAAGGTAAACATCATTCAGAATTGACCTTAACTTCAAAACAAACTTCATTTGCAGACAGAGGTGTTAATTAATCTCAATGTGGCAGATAAAGATAAATGCTTTGGATTTTCTTCAAGAGGAAAGTTAATTAATCCCAAGAGACTCATTGCAGCGTTTCATGATTTACAATAGAACATTCTCAGCAGTTATCTCTCTTTGCCCATTCACTCTTATATAAAGTTAAGGAATCTACCCCACCACTCCAGCTCCAAACTGGATGACATAGAGAACCAAACTTAGCATCAAAATATGTCTTACTGCCTACTCAACCAACATACCAAATTTGAACTTAATTGGTCAACCCTAAAAAAAGTTATTAGAAAAAAGCAGAAAATTTGTGGACGGAAGAATGACAGACGGACAGACAGACAGACAGACAGACAGAGTGATTACTATAGGGCACCCGCAAATCCTTGCGGGGCCCTAATAATACAAATAGAAAACTGAATTCTTGCTGGAACAGAAATATCAGAATTTGTTTAAATAATCACAAACACAAATGAAATAAAAATAAATAAAATCTGTCAACAGTATTCCTTTCGTGTAAAAAAAAAAAGATATTCTATTTTGATGATCAACTGCAGATGACGTTATCGTTGATAATTCCAAGTTTACATCAGTCATTTAATCAAATGGAAAGATTCAGACTTGAATTATTCATACAACCCTTATTTCTCAGATACATTCAGTCCAAATGATTCAAATCAGTACCCCTGACATTACAAGTACCTGTTCCAAACTTTAAGACAATCTTCTGCTTCTATGGTGTATGTGACTTTCTTGATTCCCTCACATTCACTAGGCACCTGATAGACAAGTTCTACAGGCTTCTTCTTACGACCTGAAATAATGGAAAAAATTAAAACTGATGCTCAGTTACTTTAATTCAAGAAGGAATAGTTCTCAAAATATAGGAATAACCTGCCTTTAAAATTTAGTTCATAAAAAGGGGGGAAAAATCCAATTAAAATCAGATCCTTTGATCTATGACATAGATCGCTACACAAGGATCAAGTTCTCATATCAAAGGATCTGATTTTTATCAAAAGGATTAATTTTGAAGTTGCATGGTTTTCAAAAGAATTGTTACCAATACAATGCATAACATCATGAGCTATCAATAAAAATTGTCCTAATCAGGGAAAAATAAAATAAATAGCACAAGTGCTCACAACCTTTACCATATTTATGTCTCCAAAAGAATTTGTACCTGTATTTTCAAATCCTTACTTGTATTTGCCAGAGCTCCACTCCACATACCAATCATCCAGGCAAGATGTACAGGAGGAAAAACCATTGGGGTAACTTTGCAGTCAAAATGCATCTGGAAATGAAAAGAATACATTCAAAACTTGTAACTACTGTAAACCAATTATTATTCGCGACAACTTTTATTTTTGATTTATCAGTTTGAAACCCATGCTCGAGGATTAATGATCGTGACTGGAAATATATTCTACATAGATACTCAATTAAATTAATAGTTAGCTGTGAGAAATATTCAGGAGTAAAATATGGTCATAAAACTCATGGATATATCTTGAATGCGAATAAAAATTGGTTAACAGTATTCCCTCTGACCATCTTACATCCAACTTTTTCCATTATGGGAAAATTTCATGACTTTTGTTTATGGATTAAGAAGTGGATACCAAAACATCCAAACAAATATAAAGCAGAGATGCTTTATCTAAACCATACAAACAAATACATGTATAAAGCAGAAATGCTTTATCTCTTGCTTTGACTACTCCCGTTGAAGTCCCAACCCTGAATTTCATATTTGTATAATGTCTGCAGGTATGCATTTGTCTATGGTGAAATGGTACTCAATAATGTAATAGAAAACATGCTTATAAATGATACTGCAGCTTTCTTAAATACCCTAAAGTGGAAAACGTTCACATTCAGTCAAAAAATAAAATAGCAAAGTTTAGAATCTAGTAAATTGATTTAACATTATGATAGACATTTCCATACTTAATACTTCTGATTTTTACTAAAAACACCAACAGTTTACTGTATGAAGGAAAATGTTCTACCTGGAGCCAGGTGATAAGGACATCAGTGAGGGCTACAGTAGATTTCACAAGGAGTACAGGGTAGTAGGTAAAATGGTCCTTCACATCTGGACCCAGCTGTTCCCCCTCCATCTCCACCCCACAGAGTGTGGCTGTCAGCAGGACGGTGTCTGTAGTACCTTCAACAGTGACCACCACCAGAGGTATATGTCAATATTTACTTAATATACAGCGACCAGCCAATTCAAGAGGTAAAAAACACATCACGCAAAACTAATCAATATAATGTTTTTAAAAGTAAACATGATAAAATGAAGCATATAATTTAAGAAGAATTGCTCAAAAGGACCACCATTACACTATCTTAATAATGCTCAGTGTTCCAAACTAAGATTCAGAAAATAATTTATGACATCAAAGGAAATGAGAAAGTTTAATTTAATGAAAAATTTAAATATATAATTTCTGTTCAGAATAACATCTTTGTATTTACTGTAAGCCATGTTAACTGATATGTCAGATAGAGACTGCAAAGTCCTTTTTCTTAAAAGGATCTAACATTTACTATTAACTTTACCACACCCATGTAAATCAATTCCAATAAAAAAAAAATCAATCCCATAAGTAACATGTTAAAGACAATGGTAAATAATAACTGGGAAAAAGGTGAAAAATCAATTCAAAAAATGAAGGAGGGTGTGACAATCTAAGCACAGGAGTCTGAAGTTTTTATTGTTAAAAAAATATATATTGGGAAAAAAATTCCATCCTTACCAAGTGGAGGGGTAGTAGAGAGTGAAATATTTTTTTGCAGTATTTTTCTAAAAATAAAAACTTCAGACTCCTGTGATCTGAGTAATATACAGCCTATAAAATACCAAACAGTAACAATCAGTTTGATTATGGTTACCTTTTCTTTTAATAAACGACTTCTTTTAATATTATTGTGTTCTTTCAGTATTTACCTGCACTCCTCTTTCCTTTTATCAAAATTTGTACAGCATCAGGGTCATCTGTAAGAATTTTTTTTTTCTTTTTGGTAAGTATGGAAAATGTGCATTACATGTAAAATCAAAATTCATTTCCTCATTTTGATAACAACCACATCACTCTCCAAATCTAAAAATATTGTACAATAATGTTTAATAACACAATGCAAAGTACATATAACTTGTTGAAATAAAGTTTTCAATCTAAAACCAAAATTCATACATTCACTCTTTTTCAGTCCGTCTTGGATACAGAACAGTGCCTTTCCAGAGATATTGTTCTCCACAAACATTCCCTTCTGACTGGCCTGAAAGTGAAGTAGATAGACTTCATCTAATATGTAACATACTGGAAATGCATTTCTACATGAACAAACGTGAAAGTTGCTATGTTATAAGGTCAGCACAATTCATGTGTATACACTGTATCAACAGGGCTAATTAGCCTGTCAACAAGTCTGATAAACCAGAAAAACTTAAAGCATTGACTGTTGATCACATTGAGAAAACCATATCTACATGTATAAATAATAGACCATATGCATGTACAAAACATGGATACAATTATAATGATTAGTAGACCCAATGATGTCATTAGATACATGTATGTAACTTGGTTGAGACTGATAAAACTAAACAAACGAATAGAAAGTAAAGAAGCTTCTCACCGCTACTACACAGGAAGACAAAAGCTGGCCATATCGCTTAAGGTCTTTTGAGGAGCTGCTGAACTTGTACAGGGGAGATAACTTGAACACTCTCCATGTTTTGTTGGTGAACCCTGTTAAGATAATTAGTACAGGTACTAAATAAGAAATCATTGTAATATATATTTTCAAATAGATGGCATAATATTATTATATATTGTATACAGTCAGGGGCATGACTTTTGAAATTACTTTTCTAAATAATTAAATCATATTATTATGAATTATCTATCCTTGACTGTATTTTGCTCTACGAACTTGTTGTTAACCTACTGGTATCTGAACAGCTTTATACTGAACCATTCACAAAATTCTAGAAAATTATTCAGTCTTAGAAAAATTACAAGAATGTGTGTAATTGACCATTGAAATGTTCATAAAATACAAATAACACTCTATTCAAAGAATATCATCTTTACTGTTTAGGAAATGAAGTCTGTCATCTGAAATACATGCAACTCCCTTAAACTAATATCATCATGCCTCATATAGGATTAGTTTCAGCAGAAAATTTTAAATTTTGATGTTTTGATAAAGAAGAAGTTCTGGTTTTTAAGAATAACTCTTATGGATGATTTCTTTGCTTCTTCACAAATACATGTCAGTCAAATAACTTCAGTGAGTTAAAAATAACTTGCTTCCATTACCCCCCTGACTGACATATATTTGGAAATTTGGTGTTTCAAACCTTTGAACTCTCCCGATTCAGCAACACTCTCAGATTGGGTTTTTGATTTTGCTCTGACTGTTTTCCTTTTGCCTAGAACAAATTATTTCTACATTAAACATCTTTTCAAAGGAAAGTGTGCAGATATTTGCAAGTTTTTTGGCTCTGTTTTATTCATTCTATAAATATCTGCATTAATTACTCAATAATTGCTTAATATAATTGAAATGAAGAAAAATATATACTAGGTCAACTAGATATAATTAATGTAAAAAAATTAGCTCAAAATACTGAAATAAAACAGAATTCATGAGGACATCCAAAGGACACTGCTGATATTCTTTAACCTTGAGTGGATGGTAATACTGTTGCAATCCTCCGACTCTGTGGGGTTCTCCCGTAAGGGGTAAACCTCTTTGGAGTGAACCTCTGTGACAACCTTGACTTCAATGTATTGCCAAACTGTGGTGTGGTGTAGTTTTCTGATGAGCGCTTCTGTTGTGTAGCCATTATTTTACCTAAAGGCAAAAAAAAAGAAAAAGAAAAAAAACTCTGTTTAGTTATCGGGTCTGTTCACATAGAATATTGGTACATGTTCAACTGGGAAATGCTTGCTCAGGGTCCCTTCGTTCCAGTATTGCATAGTATAACTGGGAAGCAAACATAATTAGATTAATTAGATTAGTAGTTCGAATTTTCTCGAATGTCTCCCAGGTGTCGCAGTGCGAGCAGCTCTGCGCTGCTCGCTTTTACATCACATTTGGGAGATTTGTCCCAACCTGATTAAAGGAGGCCTAGGGGCATAGAGTCCATTTTCATCCATCAATACTTCTTACCTTGAATGGAACTTTGATATGAAGTTGATATGAAATGATGCATGATGAAGTTGAGGAATTTCAACAAATTGAGTTCAGAGAAAACATTCCCACCGAGGGCCGAAATTTCAAGTATAAAACAGCTCTTTAAAGAAACTTTTTACTTACTCGTAAAAGAATTTACTTACAATGAATAGCTGCTAACATACAATTTCATTGCTTTAGATGGATCGTTCTTCGAAACTACCGCCATAATGTATAAGCGGAAATGCTGATTGAAAGGCTATTAGAAAGAGCTTTCATGAACGACAACGTTTTTCCGGTGCTTTTACTAAACTGTTTCATCTTACTGTATAAATAAAAAGAATACTTCCTTTTAAAAAATGATAGTATCACATTGTACTATATGTGGACCGTCAAATTAACATTAAATTCAAAGAATTGGAGATATCTTTAACTATTGATAATATCATCCATTCAATATTATTTTACTGTTGCGCAACTTTTTGATGAATTTTATCACGGAAAAGTAGCAAATATCCAAATAAATGGGACAACGTGTCAAACTAAATGTATGCTTGTAAATAGACACATTTGAAATGCGAGTACTTTATTTCTTATCATTTGAGCTTTAGTTGGTTAGTTAATTGATTATATGGATTATATGTACACTTTTAATTAATGATAAACATTCGTTGTAACACGTTTCCCCTGCAAGTGAATAAATTCAGCCACGTTATCATTCCATAAAACAGTCATACAAGTACTGCATGTCTATTTACTTAAAAAATAAAATGAAAATAAAAATAAGAAAAGAAAAAAAAATAAATTTAATGCGGCATGCTGATAATTTATATCTCTGAAGCAATGTGATTTTTAATTCAATTACATTCGTGTTCTGCAAGTTATTTCCACTCTCCTTCTGTTCTTCTCTTGTAATGGAAACTGTTAAGAAGTTTTAACTGCCACTTGAAGGGGTGAATGGAGGTTTACAAATGTTGGAATCATAGAAAATGTGGTAATAAGATACATAAGCAAACATGACTGAAAAAGTTTGTTTTAAAAAATATTTAAGTTGCAACAAAATTTCTGTCGTAGAGTATCGGTTGCAGGGGTTTTTTAAGGTCTTAAAATCAAGGGACTGGACCTTTCCATTTGGGAAAAAAATAGCGTCATTTAGTTAAAATAGGGAAATATCATAAATCACATTTTTCGAGATAAATTCAAATAGGAGCCATTTTTTGGATTTGAAAAGCATTTATTGACTAATTTACATTCAATAAATCTTTATTGAAAATCAGCTTCACTTAATTGTTTGCTGTTCTGAAGTTTTATTTAATTTAAGTTTAATTTTTTTTCTATTATATTTAGAATAACATTAATGTCATGTTTCGAATTGTCTTTTGGGAATTTTCTGCAATGAAATTGGGAAAAACACACACTTTTTACCATTGGGAATGGAGCCTATTACAGGCCCCCTACGACCCCTAAAAAAATCCTGAAGTAGCAAGTGTAATGCGAAAGTTGAACTTAAGGAAGCTCTAAACACTAATATTCAAATGTTTTTTGGACTTTGAGACAAATATATCATAAAAAAGTGCTCATATTGAGTGTATCTAGTTCATTTTCACTATAGATTATCTGCCTTATTTCTTCAGGAAAAATGTTGAAAGGCAATGAACGATTTGTAATCAGAAATCACTCACACTGGGAAAATTAATGAAAATAATGTATTCAATTACTAAATCTCCGTGTTATATAACGTTAAGAATACTTTAATTAATTACAAATTGTGTCATTAACTATAGATTCCCATTTATTCTATTTTTCTTCTAAAGGCAGATGTCACTCCATCTGAATAAAACTACCCTACAAACAGAACTCTTTGGTGTGCAGTGTTTATAGCTTCCTTAAATTCAAGTACATATACTAGTAGTTTGATCTGCCCTTTGATGTTAAGTGGAATAAACGAAAATTTTCATCTAATGACGTAACTTGAAATCGAGTAAAGTATTCGTAACACTATATAACAACAAAATTTAAGTAATTGAAAACATTATTTTCATGTATTTTCCAAATGTAAGTAAACGACAGTGATTTCTAAGTGTTATCTATCACTTCAATACTTTTGATCATTTCTCCTAGAGAAATATGGCAGGTAACCTATTTTGACATAAGGGCAACATGTACACCATTTTCTAGAAATCTAAAAAAAAAAAAAAAAAAAAAATAGTGTTTATGGTAAGGTTAAATTATTTTTTCTTCTTCACAATACATGTATCAGTAGCACATTGCACAATCTTTGCATAATTTGATTTACAATCCCTTATAATAAAGTTAACAATTTATTGACACAATCTTTGACGGAGGGAAAGGCGGAATTAATTATTCCGTTTGGTGTCTGTTTCATTATTAAGTTGACCGGAACTTGTTTACTTAAATATTATTGTGCAAAATATATTCCTTATCTAAAATATATTTTGAAACTGATTACTTATTCTTTATGAAGTAAAAATAAAGTTAAAAAAACAAAAACAACATTTATACTTAACAATAGGTTTAATTAAGTTCTTTATGTCCAGCGCCAAATACTGCTTTCGGAGCGATAACGTGTAAAAGGAACTTCCTCCAAGATGGATTCCAATGAGCGACGTGTAATGAGAGTCGTAATGATGCTGAGGTTGACAGTGTTTATCGCATTTGTTTTTCAAGTGAATGGACAAGGTGTAGGTGTTAGGAATGTTCCAACTGTCTCATATAAACAACAAGACATGAAATTACAAGACGGCAAGCTGGGACAACCTGTTGTTCATCATCAACAGGGACTCGACCCTGGAAAAGAGAATATGCAACAGAAGCATGGAGCAGGTGGAACAGGGAGACAGCTTGGTGCTGGGAAACCAGCAGCTTTCAGACTTTCAGAGAGCAGGGAATGTGCAGATGATATTGTTAAGCACTGTAACCCTAAAATATACAAAAATAATTTCGCCATTCTGGATTGCTTACAGAATGACATTAAGGTACCTGCATCTTTGCATTATCTAAATTTGTTTTAATATGTTGACGGTGCGACCGTTGGGGCGAGCGCATTTTTCACTTAATTTTAAGATCCGCCTCTTCAAACCGCACGAGACATTTGCAACGTCTAAACTGTGACGTCACATGACGTCGTATGTTAGCTGCATTTCCATAAACGAAGTTTGAAAAAGTGCTAAAATTTTAACAAAAAACGTTTAATCTACTATCTGTTTGCAATATCCATTAAATTAAGGTGAGTTTATTTTTTGTGAATTTTTAGTTGTTGTTAGCGCGCGAACGAAGTTAGCAGCGAGAACAAGAAGCGATGCATTGTGGGTCCAGAATTACTGCGGAAAAAAATTCTATTGAATGAATGTGCAGTAGTCTAAATTTTCTCTTCGCCGAGGTGTTGTCGTTAGAGCTCGCAGTGACGAGCTTTGCCGCACTTTGTGCCGCTCACTGCACTCGCTATGAGTATAGAAGACAGTAATAAACATATGTTGACGGTGCGACCGTTAGGGCGAGGGCAGATGATTTACATCATCTGTTCAAACTGCACGTGTCAATTTGGTACGTCTAGACTCTGAGGTCACATGACGTTGTATGTAAGTTGCAAAAACAAATCTTAGCCTGAACAGCGTTAGTTTTTATGAAGAATGTTTAATGTACTGTTTTTTCTGCAATATCCATTTAATAAATCAATGTAATTTTATTTTTTGTTGAACTATTCAACTTTTGTTGCTACCGTGAGAACGTAGTTTGCGGCGAGATGCAATTTGCAAAGCATTATGGGACCACAGGTTAATGCAGAAAAAAATTCGTTGAAATCAATGTGCACAGTTTGAACTTTCTCTTCGCCCAGGCATTGCTTTAAGAGCTTGCAGTGATGAGCGATGCTTTGCGCCACTTGCTGCGCTCGTTATAACGTAACAATAATAGCATATGGTGACTACAAGGATAAAAAATGTCAGTGTAAAATATAACTTTTTTTTCGGGGGGGGGGCTACAATTCCTGGTGCAGGAATTAGTAACTCCCGCAAAAATCTTGGCTCAAATCATAATTTTGTGAATATACATGTATTTCATTTGCATTTCATACCTGAACTCAAAAAAATGTAGCCATGCAGACTATAATATATAAATTAATCCAAATCAACTGTCAACCATATTTACTGACCTGATTTATTTATTTTGGAATATCTGGTTAGAATTTGGGAAGGGATCTTTTAACTAGATATTGGAATCTCTTGTTTGTCAACTTTGCAACTTGAATATGTCCACCTTGTTTACTGACCTTCAGGCTTATTTTTTTTTTCTTTGGGACATCAAGATTAGAATTGGGGAATGGATCTTGTAACTGAAAATTAGAATCCATAATTTTAAGCATAAGCATTATTTTTGTATGAATTTTGTTTACTTTGAATGCATTGATTAAGTGATCCATACAAAAACAATTGTATATCTACACCAATATTTACTTTATCAAACCTAATCTTAATTTCAAGTAAGTCTCAGGAAATCAAGTGAGACATGTCATGCCAAGGACAAAAATAAACATGCTGCTGTATTTTAATCTGCGAATATTGAATAGAGGGTTAGGTTGTGATCATGAATATATTCTCTCTTATTTGAAGGAAGTTTAACTCAAGAGCAGTTTAATGTTTATTTTGCCAGAAGTCACCCTCAGTAAAACAAGAAATTTTGCACCATTATGGGGAGGTCTACATTATTGCAGCTATAAAATGTATTTATCTATAAATTGTGCAGTACCCTAGGTATGGTGTGCAGTATCCAGTAGTTCACACAGCAGACTTGTAATAGTGTAACATTGTTTTTATTAAATCAAGTGAACTTTTCCAGATGCATGTCAGACATGTCAAAAATTTGAAGCCTGGCCATCTTACAAGTCACTTGGCCACTGATTGATCAAAATTAGAAAGTCCTGTCGTCAGACTAAGCTTCAATGTTTCACAATTTTGAGAGATGGAAATGAGCATTTAATTACATGTCTAGGATGACAAAGTTCTCTGTAATTAATTGATGATTTTCTTGAGGAAATATTTTTTAATGCACTTAACTTATTTTCTTACTTGCATCAAAATTTTGCAAAATTACAGACCATATCATTTTAAGTTTGTTCAATTTGTGGGGTCAAAATAGGGGATCAATGTTGAAAAAACATTTCAAGAACAAATGTTCATAGTTAGTCATATTAGTATTATTATAAATATTCTCATGTAGTGTAGATTTAAATTTGTGAAAATTTTGGTCCCAGAGGTTTGGGTGAGGCTTAGTACAATTGAGGATCAAAGTTTATGTAGGTATATAAAGGAAACATCTTTAAAATTCTAATTCTTAAGATCTGAGCAGGGTCATAGTTAGTCATTTTAAATTGGCAGCATATGTCAATGTAGTGTAGATGCAGATATGTTTAATTTTTGGCCCCAGAGGGTTGGGCCACCATATGCGGTTTTATACAGAAAGTATATAATTTCTGCAAGAAGACCAAGGTTACAGTTTGAAACTTTACATCAAGCTTCAATAAACTGTAATTCTCAGATCTGACAAATTGCACGTTGTCCTTGAACCCAATCAATGTTTTTTGTATATATATTGTCACTCATTGTAGACAGTGAAAAAAAATAATAGTTTATAATTAAAATTAGACCTCCATTTTTTCAATGACAGTAATGTTTTTGCAAGAATGATGCTGCTATTTTATAGTCTTGTACACCTTACCCGAACTATGACATAGATCCTTGTGGTGATTCAGATTCTTTTTTTTTTCAGATAATATGAGTCTTAACAAAATACTTGTATTGAATTGTACTGCTTTTGTAATAATTTCTGTGGCAAACTTTGATGATATCATCATGTTCTTGAGTGTAATGAAAACACCTAAATAATTTATTTTACCAGCAGCTTTTGTGAAACTTTTACTGCTTTAAAGTAATAGTGAGTATTTCATCTTCATTTAGGATATGTAAACCATAGTACCTAGTACCCACCCCCTCCAAACTAAGAGCTTTGTAGTTTTTTTTTTATGGATAATTTCTTTGTGTAGTGAGGTAATGAATGAAGTTTTAAGGGTTGTATATAAAATTACTAAATTTTTATTACAAAGACTGCAAGAAAAGTAATTTTTTTTTTGACAGAAGATCTACAGTAAAACACACTTATAATGAAGTGCCAGAAATGAACAATTTTGATAAATTATTAATGAAACTTAGCTTCTATCATGTATATGTTTCATTTTCGTATATTTTCAGATAATGGAAGATTTATCAGAAGTGTGTCAGCATGTAAGTAATCTACACAGTTTAGATGAATACAGATATCTTTTGACATGTAGATAAACTTTCAGACTTGTCGAAATTCGTCGGCCCTGTTGGCAGGGCCGGTAAAAATTTGTCTGGACTGATAACTTTTAAGAAAATGTCAGTCCAAATGACCGTTTGAAAAAATCGAGCATGTCGCAAATTTTAAAAAGGTCGGGATTGGGATGCGCAACTGAAGGTCACAAACACAGAAAAGATGGTCGTGTGCGCGGCGTAGTGACAATGGTAATTTTAAATTGGTACAGGAAAGACATAAAATATGTTTGTCTCTTATTAAAGACACTCTATCCTAAGAAAGAAACTTGTGAGATAAGTGAAGGCTGTTGAAAATAATAAAGGGCATTTTGGTGGTGTTTTTCCTTTCTCAGCATCAAAATAAGGTACATGTATCTGATCTGACAAACCTTCGTCCGGTCCGACAGAACATTTGACTTTGTCAGACCAAATGTCTGACAGTGATTTCAAAATTTCGATAAGTCTGAACTTTGATTTTGAACATTAAAAAAATGTTTCAGTCTTTTCACTTTTCAGTTTATATGGAAATACAAACTAAATTTAACACGAGATGACAGGTTTGACTATGCAGCTGGAGAGGTGTGTAAGCAGGAACTGAGTCAGGTATACATCAATAAATGTGGGTATTTTAGTGAACATTACTGTTAAAGAATGATAGGTGCATAAATTATTGGAAATGTGAAAGAGAACTGAGAGAGTACAATGGGTATTGAGATCACTTGGTCTAATATTTATGAAAGCATATTACATAGCCCTATGCATTTAGCTTACAAATAGATTATGTTTCTAATACCATTATCAAATTTATTGCTAGGTGTACCATAGTGTACCATAGATAACATTGAATTGTAATGATTATTGGTAATTCTTGTCTCTGTTCAACAGAAATTTAGTATCTAATTAATTGACAGTGGTAGACAACAATCTTCTATAGACTTTCTCTTTGTTTTTAGCTCACCTGAGCTAAAAGCTCAAGTGAGCTTTTCTGATCACCTGTTGTCCGTCGTCCGTCCCTCTGTCCGTCTTTCTGTCCATCCGTCTGTAAACTTTTCACATTTTCAACTTCTTCTCAAAAACCACTGGGCCAATTTTAACCAAACTTGGTACAAAGTATCCGTGGGTGAAGGGGAGTGTAAATTGTTAAAATAAAGGGCCAAGTCCCCTTACAAGAAAAGACAAAAATATGATGAGTTCATTAAATAAAAAATCTTCTACTCAAGAACCACTGGGCCAGAAAAGCTGAAACTTATGTGGAAGCATCCTGGGGTAGTGTAGAATCTAAATTGTTCAAATCATGACCCCCAGGGGTAGGGCGGGGCCACAATAGGGAATCCAAGTTTTTCATTGAAATATACAAGAAAAATCTTTAAAAATCCTCTTCTCAAGAACCACTGGGCCAGAAAAGCTGAAACTTATTTGGAAGCATCCTGGGGTAGTGTAGATTCTAAATTGTTCAAATCATGACCCCCGAATGTAGAGCAGGGCCACAATAGGGAATCCAAGTTTTACATTGAAATATATAGGAAAAATCTTAAAAATCTTCTTCTCAAGAACCAGTGGGCCAGAAAAGCTGAAACTTATATTGAAGCATCCTGGGGTAGTGTAAATTCTAAATTGTTCAAATCATGACCCCTGGGGGTAGGGCGTGGCCACAATAGGGAATCCAAGTTATACATTGAAATATGTAGGAAAAATCTTCAAAAATCTTCTTTTCAAGAACCACTGGGCCAGAAAAGCTGAAACTTATGTGGAAGCATCCTGGGGTAGAGTAAATTCTTAATTGTTCAAATCATGACCCCCGAGGGTAGGGGTCTCAATAGGGAATCCAATTTTTACATTGAAATATATAAGAAAAATCTTTAAAAATTTTCTTCTCAAGAACAACTGGGCCAGAAAAACTGAAACTTATGTGGAAGCATTCCGGGGTAGTGTAGGTTCTAAATTGTTCAAATCATGAGCCCTGGGGGAAGGGCGGGGCCACAATAGGGAATCCAAGTTTTACATTGAAATATATAAGAAAAATCTTTAAAAATCTTCTTTACAAGAACCACTGGACCAGAAAAGCTGAAACTTATTTGGAAGCATCCTGGGGTAGTGTAGAATCTAAATTGGTCAAATCATGACCCCCGGGGGTAGGGCGGGGCCACAATAGGTATAGGGGGGAAATCTGGTAAAGAACAGCATGGCCAAAGTTACTCAGGTGAGCGATGTGGCCCATGGGCCTCTTGTTATAAAGCATATACATTATACAAAAACCAGAAGTTCTTTTATTTTAAACAAGATGAGAACAATAATTCCATTTCATTTTAGAATAAAGAATGTTCACAGCTGGAGAAAGGCAAGGGACTGATTATACCTTGCCTGGTGGACAACATTGTAAACATCACAGGAAACTGTCGGACATACCTGGAGAAAATGGCCCGGATTGTGTTCAGTGACTATAGACTGATTTTCCATTTCGTTGACCAGTGTAATGCAGATATTCAGCAGTTTGGCTGTGGACGAGTCGCTCCATTGGATGAAAATGTAAGGAATGGACAGAGATGGTTATTTGTAGGATGATAAGGAAGTACTGATACTACCTTGATTTCAGAATTCTTTACATTGTATTTTGCCGATCTTCAGAAATTCACTTTTGCTTATATGTTGAATTAAAGGGTCTCTAATATAAACTACCAAAATTTTTGTTGGGTTCAAGGTATCAAAAAATTTTTTTATTTATGATATGGGATTGAACTCAGGATGTGTTGCTATTTGTATATATCAATGGGACTGACAAAAAGTATTTCAAAACATCCAAGGGTTTGAATAACTTGTATCAAAGATGATATATGTATTCACAGTGTGGTTATTTGGCACTTTGGGATTTTACCGACCTACTGTATATATTTGAATGTTTATGTCCCTTAGACGAATAAAATCAAAATTTTTAAATCTTTGGGTTTTTTTTTTAAGGATGTTCATTCTCAAGGAAAAACACTAGAATGTTTAGCAGACAAGATTGGTGATTTACATGATGGCTGTCGGAAACAGTTGTTGAGAGTGGCAGAACTACAGGCGGATGACTACCACTTGGATCGCCAGTTGTACTACGCCTGTCGTGAGGATAGAGAACATCTGTGTGCAGATGTACCTGCAGGAGGAGGGAAAATATACGAATGTCTTTTTAAACACAAGTTCGATAACACAATGTCAGCAAAGGTATCCTTTTAAGTTTAAAATTTCTTTTTATACAATTTATCACTGGTAGTTACTTTTGTCTTCTGCTTACAACCCCCTTTAGTTCCAATGCACAAACTTCTGAATTTTTAGCTCACCTGAGCCAAAGGCTCAAGTGAGCTTTTCTGATCACATTTTGTCCGCCGTCCGTCTGTCCGTCCGTCCGTCCGTCTGTCTGTCTGTCCGTCTGTCCGTCTGTAAACTTTTCACATTTTCGACTTCTTCTCAAGAACCACTGGGCCAAATTCAACCAAACTTGCCACAAAGTATCCTTGGATGAAGAGGATTCAAGTTTGTTCAAATGAAGGGCCACACCCTCTTTCAAGGGGAGATAATTAGGAATTAGTGAAAAATTAATGGCATCATTTAAAAATCTTCTTCTCAAGAACCACTGGGCCAGGAAAGATGAAACTTATATGGAAACATCTGCAGGTAGTGTAGATTCAAATTTGTTCAAATCATGACCCCCGGGGGTAGGGTGGGGCCACAATGGGAGATCAAAAATTTACATAGAAATATATAGGAAAATATCTTTAAAAATCTTCTTCTTAAGAACAGCAAAGCCATGATTGGTCATATTTATATGGAAGCATCCTCAGGTAGTGTAGATTCAAGTTTCTTCAAATCATGACCCCCAGGGATAGGATGGGGCCACAATGGGAGATCAAAAATTTACATAGAAATATATAGGAAAATATCTTTAAAAATCTTCTTCTTAAGAACAGCAAAGCCATGATTGGTCATATTTATATGGAAGCATCCTCAGGTAGTGTAGATTCAAGTTTGTTCAAGTCAAGACACCCCCCCCCCCCCCCCAGGGATAGGATGGGGCCACAATGGGGGATCAAAGTTTTTCATAAAGTATATAGAAAAAAACTTGAAAAATCTTCTCAAGATCAGCAAAGCCATGATTGGTCATATTTATATAGAAGCATCCTCAGGTAGTGTAGATTCAAGTTTGTTCAAGTCATGACCCCCCCCCCCCCCCCCCCAGGGATAGGATGGGGCCACAATGGGGGATCAAGATTTTTCATAAAAGTATATAGAAAAAACTTGAAAAATCTTCTTCTCAAGATCAGCAAAGCAGTGATTGGTCATATTTATATGGAAGCATCCTCAGGTAGTGTAGATTCAAGTTTCTTCAAATCATGACCCCTGGAGGTAGGGTGGGGCTACAATGGGTGATCAAAGTTAACAGAAGAATATTTACGAAAAACTCTCTTTCCCAAGAACAGAAAAGCCATGATTAGTCAAATTGATATGGAGGCATCCTTGGGTAGTGTAGAATGAAATTTGTTCAAATGAGGGCCCCTGGGGGTAGGGTGGGGCCACAATGGGGGATCAAATGAATATATGGGAACAAATCTTCTGCTCAAGAACAGCAAAGCCATTTGTTATATTGATATGAAAGCATCATCAGGTAGTTTAAAATTCAAACCACCCCCGTTAAACTTTTCAATACTGAACTGATTTTTGCTTTTTTTTTCCTAGCCAATGTGCTCAGGTGAGCGATGTGGCCCATGGGCCTCTTGTTTTATTTTTAATAATCTGAAGAATTGAAAGGACAGTATTTTTTCCAAGAAATTAAAAATCTCAAAATCAAATCTTGTAAATTAATTAAAAAATACCTTTGTGTATGATTGCTGATTGCAGTGTAAAGAGATGTTAACGGTGAGACAGCAACTCATTGCCCAGGACGTCAAAGTGGAAAAGACATTCTACAGTGCCTGTCGCCGTGACATGAAAGAGCACCATTGTTTTAAGAAAGACACAGAGGAAGGGGGTGACTTTCGCAGAGCCAATATTTTACTGTGTTTGGAAAATGCTATAAAAACAGGTATACATGTTTTTTTTTTGCAATATTATTATTTGAAAAAAATTCATCTTAAGTGGAAAACGTCATTACAAAGAGCATATGAAACAGTCATAGGATAACCAGAATATCCAAGAAGTCATTTGGTGTGCTCTACTGTTCTTTCCTCCTTGGCATTCTCGAAAAATTCCTGTTTTAAACTATAATATGTGCTCTTAGTATTTCCTGGTTTCATTTATTTAAAAATCATTAATATGTTTTGCAAAAGAATTAGACGTCGATTTACTTTGATATAGAGAAACAAATAAGTCCAGAATGCCAAGCAGAGATGGCTGAACTTCGACAGGAATTGATGGAGGATTACTCGATTAGTCCTGAGATTTTAACAGACTGTAAAACGGAGATAATGGAGTCGTGTGACAAGGGCCTAGAAAGGGGAGGCAAGACTATTCACTGCCTGATGGATCTGGCTAGGCCAGCCAGGGATCAACGATCATACAAACAGCAAAAAACAATGTCGGCAAAATGTCGCAGAGCGGTAGGTCTGATTTCTGTTTGTTCTTAAGGGTGCAACGATAAACCGTTTGATGGTATATCGCGGTATATTTTTCCACGGTTCAATTCCTGATACGCTAAACTGATATCGCGGTTCAGTTCAATCGGTCCAGAATTATCCGTTTTGACCATTTTATTTCCTTCTTTACTATTTCAAAATGGCTTCTGTGCAAAACGTGAGGTCGCCGATAACGCATTTACGTCATTTAAACTTATCTCCAGCATCTTACAGACCTCAGATTTAACACGGAGAAGGACTTGATGTGATTATAAGTTAAAGATGTTAAGACAAATGATAAACCCTTTAGATCTAAACGTATTCTTTGGTAATACACAATATTCCATCGCGTGTGTATTTTGATGAAAATTTGATGAAAATTCACTGTCTTGTTGACTAAAACGTATTAACACGAGAAATATGACAATTGGGTTTTTTACGTTAATTAAAGGAATAAAAGAATGAATGTCTTCCTTTTTCATTCCATTTTAAAATGGAGATTATTAGGGAGATTATTAGGAAAGGTCCCCGTAGTTCCCTGTAAATGTTCATCATTGGTTTAGAATGTTGTCACAACTCAAAAGATCTACATAACAATCCAATTCAAGTTAACAAAATGTTATTTTAATTATTATTATTAAAAAATACAAACATTTTGTATAAACCTGTCAAGTTTTAAAAAAAATATGATGACAAACTTGAAAGACTTTTTAACCTTGTCATGTATCGTGATACGTATCGTATCATGAACTGAATACCATGATACGTATCGTATCGTGAGGTTAGTGTATCGTTGCACCCCTATTTGTTCTCCTTGAAGAATTTGTGTTATTTCCTTTGCAACAAATGTAATGTTTAGATGTAGAGTCAAATCTTGTTATCACAGACTCAATGGGACCAAAAAAATGCTGCTAAATATCAGAGGATTAATATGTTTATAGCGAAGTGTCAGGGACAAAAAGTTTGATTCGTTATAAATGTTATTTGTTATATCCATTAAGTTCAAAATGCATTTGAAACCTTGGGGAATGAAAATCAATTCACTGTAAGTTTGAAATTGTTATACATGTACTGCAAATCACTTTTAATTTTGAGAACTTTATGTTCGCTTTATTATGCGAGACTGAATGCTGCGTAAATTTTATTCTCACATATATTTTTATTATAATTAAAGATTATATACAACATGAAAATTTTGTCTCGCTTATAAACCCTAAATATACGCTCTTTCAAAAATAAGGTGTTGCAAAAATTTGGTGATTTACAGTAAACATTTTCGCAACTGTGTTTTCTGTACATACTTGTAGTACATGTAGAGGAAAAAGTAGTAGATACTTCCATCTCACTTCCACATAAATATTGATGTTTGAAATACTGAGGTTATTCTCAAATAACAAAACTGATTAAGTACATGTTATATCAAAATTTAGGTGCTCCACAATGAACAAAAATTGAGTACTTTCCAACATAATTTTTGAAATGGATGTATTTACCACATTGGTAGGGGATGGTTAAATGAACACATCTGTAAATTATGATGTTACTCAATTTTAGTTCAAAAATAAAATTATTAAAAAAGCAGGGTCCTGAGTTGTCAGTTTTTGATTATTTCTGTTCTGAATCAATATGTAAATGGACATAGAGGCTTCATTGGAGTCCTCAGAAATGTTGAAAAATATCACTGTAACAGTTGTGCATTTAAATGTTTAATATTCTTTGAAGTGAATCTGTATGATGAATAAACAAACAGCCGATTTTGTATGTATTTTCTTCAGCTGGAGGCATTAATTCAGGAGGCTGATCCCGCCAGTGATTATAGAATGGACAGGGTGTTACAAAAAGCGTGTGAACCTGTCGTACAAGTTGGGTGTAAACATGTTCAACCAGGAGATGCGAGGTTAGTATTTATATTTAATCCAGAAGACTCCAGAACTTTCAAATATCGATACAGTTGTACCATAGGTAAGTTACTGCAGCAAAGTTTAAATTAGCTCTTATTATAAGTTTGTGACTTTCATGCACTTGCAAGTACACTGTAAATTGTTATTCATTTATCAAAACCCAAAGTGTTACAGTTTTTTGTATTTTACCTACTTGCATGTATACAAGTACATGTACCTGGTTGTACTAATTTTGCACTATGAGAACTTTTTAAATTTTCAAATTATCTATAGGGCTGGGACGATACAACTTTTTCTATATATCGATATGTTTCACAATATTTGAGGCACATTACGATATGTATCACGATATGTTGAATTGGTTATAAAATTTTTTTTTGTATTGAAATGAACGAAATATTTCTTCACAAATAAGAAAAATTTATTCAAAGAAGTTGTATATCTGTTGTAAAACAAAATAATCTTACCCAAGTGGTATTAATTATTATGTATTTCATATTTATATATTTAGCATATTTATTTTATATATTTAACCCAAAATGTTAAGTAAGCAAAGAAAAACATAAGTCAAAATTTTTTTGTGATATTTCAATATTTCTTCACATGTATCGATATGCGTATCATCCTCACATTGAATCGATATCTCAATATATCGTCCCAGCCCTAATTATCTACAGACACCACAATATCATTTTGTGAGTTCAGTGCTCACAGTACCTCTAGTTTTACAATGATGACGATTTCAGTTTGGCATGATGTTGACGATGTTTGGGCTTTACCTTGTAGAGTGATCAGCTGTTTGATGGACCACCTGGACTCGGAGATCATGAATGACGAGTGTGAGGAGAGACTGATGGAAATACAGTACTTTGTGGCCAGAGACTTTAGGTAAACTCACTGTTAGGTACATGTCGGGTTAAATTAAATGTTCAATATTGAAAGAAACTCAACTCCACATGAAGTTTAATTTTCTCATTAAAATAGGTCCCAGTTTCTAATTTTATTTTACTGATTGATTTAAAGTAAAATCTGAAAAAAAAAATTTATTGAAACTTGATACAGATTAATAAAGGAGTTTGATTTTGAATGTTTTGTCAATCCTATTAATTTAATTTATCTAAATGTATATCTTATTAATGCTAACATAACCATTCTATCTAAAGTTTCATGTCCTTCACATAAGTACATGCACTTTAGAGAGTTTGTGATATAACCTTTTTTATAAGATGCATTATGGACAGATTTTTTGTTCTTTTTATTATTTGCAACAAAAATATCTAGTAACCAATTTCAGATATCAGCTGGTAAAGAAGTTAATTTCGATTAATGATAAGTGCACTATAAGTAAATTAAAAAAAGAAGAAATTCTTAATGTTTGAATATAATTGTGATCTTTATATGAGTTTTGTCAGCTCTTCAGCATCTCTATGTTTTTAACGTGGATAGTAGCCTTCCTCAGTTACATTACCTGTTAGCTTATTACATTACCAGCCATTGTAAGAGATTTATAGTTTTGTACGTGTATCATTGGTTCTGATCTCTCCATGTAGAATAGGAAAACTTTTGCTTGCTTCGATGATTTCACAGTTCACAATTCTTACTGCCTTCTTTAGACTAAAATCAGAGCTTTGTTTGAATATAATATTTTTTAAGTTTGATTTTTTTCTTCTGCTTTTTGTTTTTTGTTTTTTTACAAAGTCTAATTTTATTCTTTTTTTTTTGTTTAACTTCTAATATTCTAATTTCTATTTTATTTTCTTGCCCATAGTTAGCATATATTCACCCACTTGAAAAATTTCCACAGTAATAATATATGTAGTTTAACTTGTAGAAGAGGAATGCAAAGAAGCAACAACTTCTTTCCATTCTTCCTGAGCCACTGCATATACAAAACACTTAACCGCTATAATTTATAATCTTGTTCTGTTATCTCAAAAAATCATTCGTGTTATTCATTCTATATTCAGAATATTCTAACATCCTTTCTAAACAATGTAAGCATATGTGCTTTCAATGCTTCTAGAACATACCCAGTAACAATGTGTTGATACACAAGACAAAAAAAAAACAACCTGTAGCTCTATTTTCTGCCATTGTACTCTCAATACATTTCTGAATAATGCAATCATAAGCCAGGTGTTAGCCTATTGAATTAGGACATATTCACAATATTTTCATATAAACAAGTGATCAATAACTGCAGCAAGTGTAATTGATATCTGATTTGAAGACTCGCAAGCTGTTCTGATCAATTTGTTTGCCTCAGTGGTCAGATTTCCAACGTGAGCACTGGGAATTGAAACAATTTTGTTTGTTTCCCTAGAGTTGTTGCACGCCAAGACTAATACTGCCACAATTTAGTGAATTTCCACATCACTTTTGATGCAGGTCCATGATTAATAATTTATTTTTCTGCATGAGGAATATACATTGATTTCTTTTTCTCAATTTTTTTTTTGTTAAATTCGTGTGAAGTATTCATTGTTTTGAAGTATTCTGCTCACGTTAATATTTACTCACATGAAATTCTATTATTCTACACAGATCATGTATTGATTTAGTCACTTAAACTTTTAACAAGAAGAAAGATTAAAAAAAAAAACCCACAAATCACAGAGGAAAGATAATGCACACACATAAAAAAATAATAACAGTTCTAGCATTTTACTTCATTTCCAGAATATTTTGCTGATATTTTCATTGATTACAATCTTTGCACTTTTATGCTTGAACAATTTTAAAATAAGTTCAGAAATAGTGTACAAATTAAAGTGTTTTACAATACCAATTGTTGTAAACATCCCATGTAAATATTTGATAAAGTAGTAGAACTGGTATATCCGAGAAGTTTCAGCCAATTTACTAATCTCCAAGAAAAAGTTGTTGAAGTGATATGGTAATAATTAAATTCAGGAAATGATTGAATAGTTAAGATTGAATAGTTAATTTTTAATGCCATGGATTAAATATCTCAGCCCGGCCATGTGTTTCCAGGCTTGACCCAGCTCTGTACAAGAAATGTCATAAGGATGCCCAGAAATTATGCTCTGCCCCCGAGGACTGGGCCAATCCGCAGTCAATGACCCCTGATATGGGACCCCTAGTATTGCCCTGTCTTTATCGCCACATGAAGCAACAAGATGAGGGGCCAAAGGTGAGGTGCCACCATGTAACAATTGTACAGTGTGCTGTGCAGTTCTGACATCATAGCAATTCATAACACTCTTTGAAAACATTGAAAAACATATGTTAAAAGCTGCATGATAGTTTTCAGAATGTATAGTATCGGAATGTTGATATGATATTGACGGATGAATAAAAAAAAATTGAAAAAAAAATGTTTTAAATGGATTTCCAATCAGTGAGCTGAATTGTCATTGTAAACCAAATTTGGGAGGAAAAAAAAAACAAAACTAACAATACATGAATTTATGAAATTGCTTTGGTGTCATGCTGTTCAGATGTCACTGTACTAGAAACTGCATCTCTCTTTGCTGGATAGCAGGGTCTGATCCTATTTTTACTGTTGGGTATGTTGCTTTACCAACCTGTGTCCTCTAACAGCAGTTGATGTTCTTTTCAACCATTACAAAGCTCTTTCATGCAAGTTACTACCGTCAAAATTGTTTAAGCTTAAATTTGACTTCTAAAACTCTTAATACTGACAGAATAAGAATCTTTTCAATATAAGACCTCTTGTTTAACATTTAAAAGTCTATAAAAGAAAGTTTTAAAAAGTTATGCTGTTAGGAAAACCGGGGACTTTGTGTATTTTTATCCAGGCACAAAAAATGAGCTTAGTACTTCTATGCTTCTGGAAATAATTGAAATAAGATTCTTATGATATTTAAAATTTGGCTTTTTTGTTGTCTTTAAAAAATTTTTTTCTTTAAAATTGAGGACATTAGAATTACTTGAAATTCCAGATAATTGTTATAAAAATAAATCTTGAACATCCTGAGCTTTGGACCATTTAGAATATGTATCTATATGTGTATTAAACCTATTTGGTCTTTGAGTCTAGTGGAATTAAATGTACATGCATGATAGAAATTGCACCATTGTCTTGATCTCCTGACCCCTTTGCATATGCACTTTTGCTTTGATATATATTTGCTTCCTTAGCTGCTTGCATGCTTTAACTAACTAACGTAAACTACAACATCACAAATGGTTCACCACAGAGACAGTGTTACAGAGGAAGTCATTTTCAAGGTCAGATAATGCAAATCTAGGATGTTTTACCCTTCAGATTGGACCAACAGTTATTCAAAAAATGTCGCCGCCCTGCCAGGGAGCTGTGTGGAATCAAGGGCGACTGGCTCGAGAGTCGACACAAAGATGACAAGAAACCAGCATATGTCGTCGCATGTTTGTTCAGAAATTTTAAGCAAGAAAAAGAAAAGAAAGGGAGAAAGGGGGATCCAGCTAATGCAGAGAAAGGGGTACAGGTCATTGTTTATTGTTCTCAACTTGTAGCTTCAGCGTGTTTTAGTTCTAATCCAAATCAAATCTCATTCTGAAGATCTAATTCTTAAACAGGGATCTGATAGTAATGCTTATTAATTCTTTTCTGAGGAGTGCCAACAAAATTGTGTGTGCTGTTTTAGAATTACATATGCATCACCTTGTGATTCTGAGTGAGGGAATTTCTGTGATAAGAGGCATACACTGTAGAATTTTTTGGACAGGTGTATATAACAGGTCTTCTAGTATGTGTTTGCAAAAGTTGAAAAAGAGGTTGAAATATACTCAGCACTAAGTATTAACTAAAGTTGAAAGAAAGCTTCAAAATGATCCTTCTAAAAAATGTTGATGCTTAATTAATCTGGCATTTCAGGCTGCTTCAAGTAAAAAAAAATTATGTAATAAATGTGCTGTTTGTTCTATCTGCTAGTACTTGAGTAAAAGAAGCAGGTATTTATTGGGGATTTTGAACAAGCAAGGACATCTACACTGCTTCTAAATATGGTGTTTTTAATTGGTTTAGAGTAATTTTTTTTCCAGCTTAGTCTTACCTAACAAAATTGGTCTTTCTATCCCCTTATGTGATCGTCAAGGTTGTATTTTTGTCGTTTATATTGCTGCATGGTGGGGGACAAGTTTGAAAATGCATGCTTTGTTTAGATGTGGATTTATATTGCAGTTGAAATTGTTTTTAAAAGATGAATGTTGCACACAAACCTCAGCTTTTATATGTACATGTATGTGATGGTTGATAAAATTTGTTCATTATTCATTTTGTCAATGTTTTAATCATACTTAAACAAAGAATAAAGATGCTTTATTTGGTAGAAATTTTATCCTTTGTTTTGCTCCCCTGTTAACATGATCAAGCTTTCATCATCTAATCATTCAGCATGTGTAATTAAAAAAAAAAATACTAATGATTTTTCAAATTAATTTATAGAGAAAAATTTGTCTATATTGCTGTCAGTATATTAATCTAATGAGATTTAGAGAACATTTCTGAATTGTATAAAAAGTTCTAACTGTAAGATTGTGTAGAAACGCAGTTCTTATACTCATTATAAATTAATGACACAGGTATCCAAACAGTGCAAGAATGAGATCAAGAGAGTAATGAAACAGCGAGCCCAGCGAGTTCAACTGAAGCCTGAGATCGAGCAAGCTTGTCTCAGAGATCTCGGAATGCATTGCTCTGAATCTGATGATCCAGGAGCAAACCAGGTACAGATGTACTTAGGAAATATAAAGTTGTTTTTTTTTTAAATTGTGCTGTAATTGAGGAAATAGCCTAGTTTGTTGGTTGTAAACTTTTGTGGATTGCTGATATGCCAGTTTCATTTCAAGGTAATTTAGTGGGTTCCTATTTGAAACAAGAACATTTTTTCTTTTGATTCATTCATCAACTGTTTACATGTTTCAGTAAGGGATATCCTTAAAATATGTGACATATAAATACCCACACAATTTTATCCCATTGTATTGTGGAAATTAAGATTCACAACAATCTAGTGAATAGGCATATTTAAAGCAGATGTCTTTTTTTAATCATTTGTGTAAAAGAAAAAAAATGAATTTTCCTTATATAATCAACACATAAACAATTTAGACATTCATCTGAAGAAACACATGAAATTCTGTGTATGAGTTGTTTATATGTTTGTTGATTTATTCATTAGGAAATCTCGTGTTTACAAGAACATTATGACCAGTTAGACCCTGAATGTCAGGATGTCATAGGAAACTTCACAGAGGATGAAGATGAAATGCCGGAGCTGGATATCATTCTGATGAAAGCCTGTACCCCCATGATCAACAAATTCTGTGATGCGGTAGGTATACAGTGTCATACTAATCAGACCTTATTTCTTTAAAATAAATATTTATTTTAAATGGGATGCATAAGGCCTGTATATACAGTCAAACCTCATTATCTCGAACTCAATGGGACCGAGAAAAAAACTTTGAGATATCCGAGGATTCAAGAAATCCAGGGTAAAATATTCAAAGAATAAGGGGTTGGGACTTCAAAATCACTACAATATAACTATGGTATTCTAGATATCTGCGTTCGAGATGCCTAAGTTCAGCTGTATATTGCAAAGATGTTTTTCTATTGAATTTTCAAATCTCCAGTTTTCATCTCTTCATTTAAGAAATTAACAGATAATGATTTTTTTCATAAAGAGTATTTATGTATGCTGAAAGGTAAATGTTAAAAAAATACTTTTTGAATATTTCAATTGCTTCATTTTAAAAGATGTGTAGTGTTTTGTAGATGTTAAATAAAGTTTGGTGATCCTGTATATCAAGTATTGATGGATGTACATCAAACTTTTCCAAAAAAATAGGTTAAAAATCGATCCAGTGATACCTGGTGTTTGTTTTTATTCAACAGGATGAAGAAGTAGATGGAGATGACACAGATGATATCATGGAATGTCTGATAGAAAACAAAAACAGAAAAGATATGAATGAGAAATGTCGAGCGGGCATCGAGCATCACCAACTGGTCAGTCCATTCTGCTTTTCTCTGTTCCTGTTGTATTTTGTTATAATGACTTCAGTAATATTCAATTTACATATAGTAATTGAAAACATATGGTTGAAATCATCAGTAGCAATTGAAAGAATTACTTAATTTTTAAAAATGTTACAAAATACTGGTATGTACTTGGAATCATCATTGTTGTTTGGGGACCAATGTTTGTGGATTTTGTGGGTCAGTCACCCTTACCCACAAATTTACATCCCCGCAAGCAATAACTGTCAATGTGTTGGTTCATTGAATCTCCATGAATTTACATTGTACATCCTTACGAACTAGTAAAATTTTCATTACCTAAGAACATTGACCCCCCCCCCAAATTAAAATGATTTTACAGTGCATTTGTAACAAATTTTGTTCCATAAATACATTTTACTATTGTAAAATGATAAAGCTAGGTTTACCTCTTATGTAGCAGTGGTAGATTTCAATATGCTTATAATTTATAAATTTTACTGTTTTTTTCCCGATTTAGATATCAATGAAGAATTTCAGATTTGATCACAAGTTCAAGGAAGCTTGCAAGCACTCAGTTTCAAAGTTCTGCAAAAACAGGAAAACAAAGTAGGGCACTAGATTTTCTATTTCATTTATATATATGTTCACGTTTATTCAATTAAACAATGTCTTCAGTGCAATATTGAAAGTAGTATTTTGCATGAAACAAAGTCCTGGATACGCACCTGTAAATAATGTTTGTTTTCTCTTGTCAGAAATGAAGTGATTTCCTGTCTCAGCGAGCATGTTAGGAATGACACCTTGTTGGATGAGAAGCAGCGAATTGAAAGAGTTTGCAGAAAACAGCTTCGTGTGGAAGTCTTAGAGAGGGTAAGAAATATCAAACCTACATGTAATGCTTAATTTACATATGAACAATGTTATATTGATGCTTTTGTATGGTCACGAAACTGAAACCTAAATTCTTCTTAACAACAAAGGCTGTAATTTATTAAATAAAATTGTAAGCATCTTTATGAAGTGCTGATTAAATCAACTATTCTGCAGATCAAGACTAAGACAATTATGAAGGGAAGCTTTGATTCAAATATTTGTTATAAATTATGATCTACATATAATATGTACATGTAGGTAAAATCCTTTAAAGAGGAGCAACAAAGCTACACACTACAGTTATATGTCATATTGGAATACAATTATGGTGAAGATGCTAAATTAAATTTTTACTCAACTTGATGTGGGACCATGGAGTTTTTTTTTCAGTAAGAGCAAGTTGTCGGGTGAGAGATGTGGCCCATGGGCCTCTAGTGAAGCAGATACTTATTGCAGTTAGCACCACTCTTTGAATCTATGATATCTATGATAATGTGTATAAATGAGACTCTGTCTCTGTCTACAGGGTGAAGATATCCACTTGGATCGTAAACTTGAGGAAGCCTGCCATGATGACATTAAGCAAAAATGTCAGGGTGTAGACTCAGGAAATGCAAAGGTACGTTTAGCTTTGTTTTCATAATTTATGATTTCAGTTAGTATTTTTAAGGGAAAACATCTTTTTTGGTTCAAGTTTTCAAACGAATAGAGACATCTTTATTCACTGAGGGAGGTTATGGCATTCACTCTAAGTTTCTCGGTATTAGTAAAATTGGAAAACATTTCAAAAGTACATTTCTTTGAAAGTTACATGCATATACATTTTGTACCACTCTAAGAACTACACATATTTTTAGAAAGTACATGTATGTGTATTTTTTTAATGGTGATGGTGAGGTCACATGAAAGTACATGTAAAGGGTAAGGGTAATTTCTAAAATAATTCTCATTAGTTCAGACTAGTTTTGAAATTCCTAAACTAACAAAAAAGGTTGTAAATCATTGTCATAGAAAGAAAAGAACTGCTTTGTGTAAACATATATTATATATTAAATGTGTTGCTTGAACAATATGAAGACATTAAATTATACCTTTTCTATTTAAAATTAGTTGTAAGCATCATGCTCTCTTTATATGAATTTTACGTTCAGGAAGATTCAAAAAACACTTGCTGCTTTTGTAATTTGCTACTCTGAAAAAATTAAATCCTATGGAGTTATTTCAGATTATGAAAATATTTTTATTCCAGATGATAGAATGCCTTAAGAGTCATCAGAAAATGCTGTCCCCTAAGTGTCATAAGGTTCTATTTAAGAGAGAGGTATGTATCATATCATTCACATAAAGTGTAAAAATACTGATATTTTCTGTCAACAAAAATATGTGCATGACATTGTTCAGTTTTAAATAACAAAGCAATTTTATGATTTGTCAGAAAGAAGAAGCTGTACTTGGTGATTATAAAGTACATTCAGTGTGCAAGAGAATGATCAAGGTGAGAGGGTTTTGAGTATGTATATGTAAAACCTGCCAAATATAAGGCTTTAAATCTAATTAGAGAATTTTTTATTGTTTGGTAAATACTAAGCCTTATGCATACTTGGATATTACTTTTCCATTTCAACTCTGGCAGCTGTAGTTTTGATAAGTCAGTCTGGTCTGTTTCACTCTTTAATGTTTGGTAGATGAACTCTAGCTTAATGCTCCAAAAGTATGTGACAGATTTTGTTGGGGGCATATTTGTGAAATCTGTTTTTTTTTTAATAAGAGGTACTTGTAGCTATAAGAACGCAAAACTAAGACATGCTGATGAATTTTCTGGTCATAGATATGAAAGGTGATAACAGTGTACAAGCAATCATATAGATTCAATAATTTGCTGATAGCTATAATCTAAATTACAGATGTTTTGTAATGAGGATGATATGGAGGAAGATGAAATTCTGCCCTGTCTAAAGAAGAACAAAGATAGGCCTGAATTCGATGAGAAGTGCCATCAGCTCATTGTGAAGCGAGAAATAGCAGAAAATAAGGGTTTGTTTCAAAATAATACCATTGCATCGAACAGAAATAAGTACTGGTTAAATACATGAAACAATCTACATGTACCCCGGTATATTTAAAGTCTTCTCAAGCTAACTGTATATATTAAAATCTTTATGTTCTTCAATTACAAGAGGGAGAGGGGGAGAGAAGCCAAATGAAATATTTGGTAGATAAGAAACACAAATCCATTAAAATGTTGTTTTTTTTTTCATAGATTATAGATTAAATCCAGAACTACAGAAGAAATGCCGTCTAGACATTCCTAAATTCTGTTCTGATATTCTCAAAACTCAGAAGAATGATAATGAACTTCAGGGCAAGATTGTTACATGCCTGAGGAAAAAATTTGCGGTGAAGGTATGAGACATTATGTCACTGTAACGGAGAATAACATAGAGAATGAGGGAAAATATTTTTGGTTTTCAGAAACCAATGTATTACATGATAGCTTCAAAGTTAATATTATTTGATATTTAAAAATTTAATGGTGATGCAGATTCAGCATTTCAAATGTATCGATCTTTATGTTATAGAAGTGGAATTAAGATCTGAGAATGACAGTTATTGATTGATTGATTGATTGATTTGCAGAGACTGTCCAGAGAATGTAACTTGGTCATTAGAGACATTATCAAAGATTCCGCTCACAATTACATGGAAGATGCAGTTCTGGCTTCAGCATGTGAAGGAGAGGTAAACAAAATTAAACAATAGGAAAGGAAATAAGTTCATTATTTCCAATTCCTAAGGTAGAAGGATTTCTGGATAGTTGAGTAATACGGTATATACTCGCCTATAAGTCGGTTGTATTTTTAAGCTTAAATTAGAGGGATTGAACTGCTAAAATTCCAATCTATTTATAACTTGCATATAAGACAGATAAAGAGTTTTGGACCAAAGTTTAACTCCCAAAAAACTGACTTATAGGCGAGTACATGTATTTATGGTAATTACATAAAATCTCAAAATTCTTTGCTAAACGAGATGTGACAAAATTAATGAGGTACAGATTGCTGCATGGTGGCTTAGTTTATGGTGCATTCATATAAACGATTATTTGCATATCTCAGTAGACAGTGTTTTTCATTGGTGTGGGTCTTCTTTTACAGATCATTAAATATTGTGGGGATGAACATGAGATGGCAATGAAGGGAAGGAACTCTGAAAGCAGAAATAAAGTAGAAATGGTGCAAGTCCAGGACGGCAGTGGAAAAGTGGTGGAATGTCTGAAGCAAAAATTCCTTAATCGTATCATCACTAATACTGTTTGCAAACAGGTAAAGATTTACTTGTACTTGTATTTCTTTCAAGTTTCAATCAAGTTATTCAATGAATTTTTGGACTTCAATGAGAAATTGAGGGTAATACATGCAATGCTATAACAGGGTTGTTTATATTTGTGGAATTTTTTTTAGGGAATTAGAAATATTCAAAAGATTTGATAAGTGTATTTGCAGTATTACAGAAAATTTCTTGGTTACACAGTTATGGATATGTACTGTAAATGGACTTCAATTTAGTGCAATCTTTCTTATTAACTGATTAGTATAATCTTAAATTGGCATTTCTATATGCATTTGTTTTAATCATATATTACTGTGTAATTGCATTAGCGGACAAAAAGCAGTGCTAAAATGTGACTATTCCTAAATTAAGTACATTTTCAGTATCCCTAAGCAAGTTGAATAATTACAGGAAATTGAGAGAGTGATTCAGGAATCACAGATTGATATTAATGTGGACCCACTGCTTCACATGACTTGTCAGCGTGACCTTCAGAAGTTCTGTGGTGACCTTGAACCTGGCGAAGGACATCGTAAGTATAAGAATAAAACACTTAAGTACTGATAATGCATGACAGTTCAGAAACTGGTGGTTAACAGTGGTTTTAGTAGATTCTCCCAACCACAGTAGCATTTCAAACATGGTTGACATCCTTCTGAAAATTATTTTCTGAGCTAATTGTCATTTTTACTTCCAGGAATGGCATGTTTGCTAGCAGAGCTTGAGGATCATCCAAAACAAATTTCTGAGAAATGTTTAAAAGAATTGGAGAAGAGGAAACTGTTATGGGAGTTGGCAGCTCAGGTTTGTACTACTATGTATAACTGATACTGAAGGAAATGGATAAGGGTTTGGTTCATTAAGAATTTAAGTGTCATTAATCTACTAGTGGTGCTTACTGTGATTATTTTGAACTGTTTTTTTGTTGTCATTTGAAATTGACCTACCCAAAATATCATAGAGGTTCAAAGTCTGACACACTCTGATACAGTTAATCAATTCTAAACATTGTGAATGGATTAAAATTCTACTTCCCAGCCAAATTTTATCTCTTCAATTTATGGCCAACAGTAAAGGATATATTGATTTACCTTTCATAACAACATATTCCAATATGAATATAATTTGTACGTTATATTGTGGAAAGTGTTGATCATTTAAGATCGTCTATTATGTGACTGAATTTAGTCAGTATGAAGAATGACTACCCGGTAGGCTAAAGTCCAGTAATAATTGGTTACTTTTCACTTGATTAAATGTGATGTCATTCAGCAGTAATTATTGGTCTTGCATTTCCATTTTGGTGCCAAGAAAGGTTTATTGACCCTCTGATAAGAGAAATAACTCCTACTAGAAAAAATGACCATTATTCCTTTGTCAAATTGTCATGTTCAAGTCCTTTTCTGTCAAAATTTGCCTTGCAAGGTATGCTGAAAATGTGAGCATTCTACAGTCAAACCTTGTTATTCTCGAACTAAGTGGGATCCAGAAAAAAAAAACTATCTGATGGTTTGAGATATCAAAGTTAAAATATATAAAGAAAAAAGCAGTTGGGACTTTTCCATCACTTCAATATATCCATGGTTTTCGAGATATCGAAGTTCAAAACTGTAATTATAAATAAGATTAGCATATTTTATATGAGTGAACAGAGACTAATGAAACCTTTAATGATTAAATATGTACATTTATTTCTCAGGGTAAACCAATCGAGGGCTTTCATGATGTCTACCAACAGATTGTGGCCTCCCCTTCCAAGAACTATCTCCTGTTTGTCATATGTAGTATTATAGGTGTGTTTTTCCTTGTGGGTATTACCTGCGGGAGGGTCAGCAAGCGAGTAGCCAAACAGAACAAAATGAAATAAACAAACACATTCCACTACATGCAGCTTCCAGAGGGCAGAGACCAAGTCAGGCGATTTATGAAAATATAATAGAGGTTCATAAATTTTAACTTTTTGTTTGAATGAGTTCTCTACATTCAATTGCAGTCAATTTATACATACATGTAAGTACGTAAGCCATTATATGTTATGTAGTAATGTATCAAAGACAGATTCTAATATCTTCGGTCTTGTATTTAGGTCTTGTCTTATATTAGAAATTTTTTTTTTTTCTAATATGCTCAAAAAAAAAGTCTCCTTATAAAAACAGAATGTATTTTTTGTTTAAATCAAATTTATACTTTTAAATTAAAATGATTTCTCTATTTTACTTTATGGTAGACTGTTTAGAAGTTGCTCATATCTGTGATTCATGTAACATTTTACATACAAATGTATTAAGACATTAATACGATTGTCCAGTGGATTCATAGAGATTATTTGCATTTCCAATTTATTGTAAATATTTTTTCGGTGTGAAAGATTTGATTATGTGTCATATATGATGTGATGATATGATTGTTGATGAATGTTAATACATGTAATGTGTTTCATAAAATGTATCCCCATGTATGTCTAAAGGTGGAGATTCGTCACTAACCTAAAAGTACCATGAAAATAGTTTTAACCAAAAATTTGTGTGGAATGTAGCAGAAAGTTTTGATTTACATGTATATGATCTTGGGGTTGTTTTTATTATTTTTGATGACTAAGGAAAAAAAATTATTTGAATTTGTGATTAGTCGCAGTTTATATTGCTTTAATATATATAAAGTAGAAATCAGATATAAAATGTATAATGCTCTTACATGCCAGTTAAAGAGTCAAATTTTAACATGGTTTTTTAATGTGCATAATCAGTGAAGCCTTGATGTAAATTAGTCCGCAAATGATGCAAGGCTCTGTTCACATGTTGTGAAATACTCAAGATTCTACAGAGAGAAAGAAATACACGAGACATATGGTATAAAATGAAAGTGTGTGCAAGCAAAGACCAGCTGTAGGGAGATAGTCATCTAGCATTAATGCATGTATGTGTCTTGTGAATACTTGTCATAAAATATTCTCCACAATCAGATAATCAGAAATGTCCAAACAATTGTTCATTTGTATTCTTAATTTTCTTTGCAATTTAAATCTTCATCAGGTGAATATTTTGGTTAATTATCCTGATTTGGACATTTTCTGTGTTTCTGTTTTTTGAAATACACCGGTAATGATGTGTATGAGTTACCTGCATGTTTGTATGCTAGATGCCTTATTTGAAAAGTATAATATTGTCTTTTTTTTTGTTGAATTGGATCATTTGAAGTTGTAATTCTTTTCACAACCAAAAAATTCTTAGTAGAACTGAAAAACATGACAGTAAAGATATAAAATAAAACAAGAACTAAAGTATATTTCTTCTCATGCTGAATAAAAAATCTATAGTAAATTAGGCCTATAGTTTGCTGAAGTGTTAGGTATGTTGCCGTACCTTGTTTTTGTGGGTTTGTTTCCATTCCCGTAGCATGTGAACAAAATTGTCTTGGTGCTTTAACCTGTTTGCATCCGAATGATTGATGTCAACTTTTATGACTAAATCACACAGTGAACATAATCATATGTTGTACGTTAAGAACATGTAATATAAAAACTTATTTTTGTGCCCTTTCATCTAGCAGATCAGATAAATCTCTGCAGGGAAAACAATTTTTTTTTTCCTTGTACGAGTTGGATTGATGGTGCATTATACATGTATGAACATTTCAAATGTTGCCCAAATAGACTGTGTTAAATGTATAATACAGTGAAAGTACTTGTTATTTATTTTGTATATTGTTGCTAGAGTACATTTTATATTTAAAAGTAGCTTTAATATTGTCTCTTATTACATTGCATCTTTTATTTTTCTATTGAATTTATACATACAGTGTATATTTCCCTTTGTTTGAAAGTTGAAAAATTGTAAGTTCAAGGTCAAGATTTTGGAATATTTGTATCAATCAGTGATTAAAAAAGACTTGTTTTAAAACATCATTAAGACATAGTTCGAAATAGCAATAAAGCTGTTGATTGTTGAAAAAGGCTGGTTTAAACAGAGAACTATAATTTTTGATGTACAAATCATGAGAAATTGAAATAACAAAGTGCAAATATATGAAATTCATTTCATTCTGTAGCGTTCCTAGTCATACAAGTGTGAAAATCATGTAGATGAATAGCCTTCCATGAAAATCATGTACAAGTAAACAATTAATTTCATAATAAATTCCAAATACTAGTACATGTGCTTGCTTTTAACCACTACTTCAAAACCATGAAGTGGCATTTCCTATTTAAACGACTGTGTTAACATATACATATTTTAAGGGTTTGTGGTTCCTGTTCAAGTTTTGTATTTCTGGTGTTTGTTCTTCTGTTTTGTTTATTACAAAGTATGCATTGATGATTTGTTTTATGGAAACAGAGAAGAGTTTTTAAGATCTTTTTTTTCCCTCTCTGTTAAACGGTACATACTTTATCAAATATTAATCATTAAAAATACTGGTTGAGGTTTCTACCTACACTTACACAGATTTCTATTTTTGTCGTGTCTGTATCATGTATTTCAAAAAGTTAAGTAAAAAAAAAAGAGAGAGAAAATTGAATGTTAATGTCCTACATCATGGCTTTATGTTTGTTTCATGTAAAATTAACTATTTCAGACATAGTTAATTGTTTTGATTGTGAATTATATTAAATATATATATACTGAATAAATTAATGATAAGTTTATCAGTATTATTTCTGTTGTGTTTCCCTCTACCATTGTGGATAAGAGCATGAAATGAAGGAACCTCTAAAAATAATAAAGGGGGGGATTTTACCTGTTTTTCAACAACATGATGATCTGACATCTCAAGGATATGTAACAAATTATATCTGTAATTATAAAGTTCTTGTAATTTAATTTGGATAAAGATTGTCAGAGTAGTTTTTTTTGACAGTGATAGTTCATCATTTGTGTACTTTATTGATGTTATTGATTTCTCCAAAACCATTTGGCTTAATTTCAAATTTGCCCCGAAACCATTAGGCTTATTTCAAATTTACTCCAAAACCATTAGGTATATTTCAAATTTGCTGCAAAACCATTAGGCTTATTTCAAATTTGCTGCAAAACCATTAGGCATATTTCAAATTTGCTCCAAAACCATTAGGCTTATTTCAAATTTGCTCCAAAACCATTAGGCATATTTCAAACTCCAAAACCATTAGGCTTATTTCAAATTTGCTCCAAAATCATGAGGCGTATTTCAAATTTGCTCCAAAACCATTACCAGTAGGCTTATTTCAAACAAATTTTTCTTGGAGCATCATTTAACAAGGTGAATAAAGGTTTATCAGAAAGTAATTTCTGGTGGGGGCAACTAAACAAAAAATTCTTGACAAGCAAATAAAGATCATCAGATATTATGATTGAGGGGGCACAAATGTAAACTGGCATAGGTTTTTTTTATATAGTATGTTTGCATTTTGGTTTGCACACAAGTGCCATTTCCTAGCCTTTACAGAAAGAAGGAAGGAAAAAAAGATGATGCTATGTGCTATTCAATTATTAAATTGCAGCAGAAATTATTTTCTGAGTAATAAGTTTCAGTATTTTTGAAATAATATGTGTAGTAAAAAGTCTAAAAGAAAGCATGAATTTAGCATAATTTAATTATTTATGGAAATTACCATGAAAAAGGGGGCATAACTCTGTAAATCCATCCAAATTTTTCCAGATATTTTTTCTTTCAAAATAGCGTGATTTGGTTAAAAATATTACACACAGATACCATCAAAATGAAACAAATGTTTTGAATTGAATTTTATATTTGTTTCATCATTTTTGGAAATGTTAATTAACTTGCATGTATTAAAAATAATGGTCAGTGAAAACAGAGTTTAGGAAAGAAACAAAACATAATTTCTTTTGAATTATGCAAAAATAAATTCATTTAGTGTCTTACATGTATTAAAAATAATGGTCAGTGAAAACAGAGTTTAGGAAAGAAACAAAACATATATTTCTTTTGAATAATGCAAAAATAAATTCATTTAGTGTCTTAACACTAAATGCAATGAAAAATAAAATGCATTAGGATTTTTTAAAGACCAAATTTGACATATATTATGATAATATTAAATAAAATAAAATTTTATTATGAAAAAAAAAAACAAATACAGTCCAAAATCATTAAGAGGGTTGAAATACATGTAATAAACTGTTTGCTAGGCAAAACAATGTTCAATTACATCTAAAAATGCCATTCTATAGAGTTTACTTCACTTCTCTCCACATAGACAAGAAGTAATGACAAGAGTTATACCCCTTGTTTTATGGCACATCTGTATACAAAATTGATGTTTCTCAAAATAAAGCTTTCCATTCTTCAAATGTTGTTAGATTTTTTCCAAATAAATTTTGTGAGTACTGCAATTTATTTTTTGGGAAAAAATCTGTTGCAATATAGCTTTGATGTTAAAAACATGATATTACCTTGTACGCTTGATAAATTAGAGTTATCTTTCATAGTTTATATAGGTGGCGCACATAATGAGGCGGCGAAAATTAAAAGCGTAAACAATCAAGGATTTCAGAGGTAGTTCGATTTACATTTTTATGCTATATGTATATACAGAAATGATTAAATATTTTGAAATGAACATAAATGTTTAAAAATAGATAGCAGTTACGTAAATTAATAAGTCTAGCATATAGTAGTATGGTCAAGAATAATTTAAATTAACCCGAGTTTCCTCTGCTTTTTAAACGTAATCTTTTGTTCTGCTAAATTTAAAGAATATTCAAAAAATAAATTATTGAATACGATAAAGTATAATTTTAAAAGAAAGTTGCTTTTATTTTCGTAGACATTTAAAGAAACTTTTGTATTTTCTCTATAAATCGAGACAAAAGCTGAAAGACAAATGGATGAAACGTAATGGAATATACAGACGAAAATAAATTTTCATTAACCTCCATCAGGTATTTATTTTTTATACTTTTTTTCCGAAAGTCATACATTTTAGTTCTTTATGAGGTCTATTACATTTAGCTACATAGCTTGAATTACCCATGTAGCTTTAATATGTTTACAGCTACTCAAAGTAGGTTATTTGATCAGCTTTTTCACAAGTTTGCTTTTTATTAAAATAGAAAAAAAATCTGCAAGTATGTCACTACTAATGTCTGTACTATGGACTTTGAAAAAAAAAGCAAACCAGAGCAAAGGTACTTTAAACATTGCTTAGGGTGCGAATAATGCACTGGTCCAGTGACAATTGGATCAGGACAAGTGGATGTCGTAATCGTCTTGTCCCTAGTGACCAGTAGAATTTTTCCGTGATAATTTAAATAAACCAAAACACTTACACAAATTCAATGTTATATTGTATTTCACCAAATTTAGACTGTTAGACAGCTAGTATGTTTGTTTGCTAAAAAGATCACGCTCGTTACATATACAAATTATCCAGTCTCTTCTGACTGTAAGTTGTTGTAAAAAGAACTTTTGGTTGCATGAACAAGACTATCAGTGGAAATCAATAATAAGTAAAATGCAAACTTAATCCGAAATAAAGCAGACAGTCTTAACACTAAGTTGAAAGAATTTTCCACTTAAATTTCTTTATTTTAGTTTGTTGCATTGTTTATTGCAACAATTTAGTTTTGAATGTGCTTGATAATTCCATGGAAAAACACATGGATGCATTTATCATTCCAGGAAAAGTTTGGGGTTTTTTTGGGTTTAATTTCAACAAAATGAAACAAACTGCTTTCAAACTTGATATGAGACCCAGACTCTTTATAATAACATATGAATATCATATGTACACGGGACATAATATGAATGATAAAGATATCTGAAATGTGCTTTGATCTTTTAAATTAGAATGACTTGGCTTATATAAAATCATCATGGAGACGAGTGGTTATGATTTCATACTTGCCACCTGGGACGAGTGGACACTGAAATTTCTTTCTCATCCTGAAATTGCTGCTTTTAAACATTTTGAAGCGAAAGATGAATTTACATTGTTTGAGTAACTGTGCACCACCTTGTGTGCAGTGAACCATGGATTATAAGTATAAATATTATTACTTCACATTGTGTTGAAATATTATAAACTATTATCAATTATCAAGTTTACCAGAATTGATGGTCTTTCTTATTTTATTCAAAAAGTGACTGTTTGGTCACAGATCAACTGTTGTATATATAACCCCAAAACTTAAAGAACTTTGATTGCGATTTCTCTGAAGTAGACACATCTTAGAAAGCAATTTTTTCATGCATTGTTTTCAGAACAGTTGAAGGTTGAATATTATCACTGCACCAAAGTGCAATTTTTTACATGCTGAAAAAAATCCCATATAAGAAATAAATGTCATTTAGTAGCTAAAGCTATTTAAAGTAGCTGTATAAAGATATATAGGTAATTCAAGCTACATAGGTAAATGTAGTGTTTGTACAGGACCTGTTTATTGCTAGTATTAAAACATGCAATCTTGTTTCTTTCTCAGGATTCTTGTTTGTTTTAAAAATGAATCATAAACTTGTGTCTCGCATAATTGTGGTTCTTAAAAGTTTAGAAATTGAAATTTCATTTTACTTTGAATGTGCAACTTTAGGTATTTCTAGCTAATAGTTGACATATTAAACTTACACTTAAAATCTATTGTCTTTTCTTGACTTAAGTTAGTGATTTGTCAATTCATAATTGCTAACAGTTTACAGAATTAAATAACAAAAACATTTTAAACTTCTGTTAATAAAAAAAAAATCCGTAACACAGTGGAACCCACAATATAATGAGAAATGAGTATACTAAGCCTAGCTAGTATGCTGGCAGGAAAAATATATCATTGTGAAAAAAAAAAACATGTTTATCAAATTCTGATTATAGAAAAGATGGTTCAGAGTGCAAACATCATAGAAAATCTCACAGAAGATCTTCCTCAGTAAGTAAACAGATTTTGATGCTCCACACATTGGTGGCTTGATGTGTAGTACATGTACATACAAAGTTTATACATGGATTATCACTACACTTCTTTATAATTGTAATAATGAATGACTTAAGAAATTTAGAAATGCCTCTTTCTTTATTGATAAAAACAATTTTTAAGGAATCAGAATTGAAAATGATAAATTTTGAATTGCAGATCCTAAAGATTCCACAGTCAAAGCTGCCCTTGTCAGATCTTGATCCAAATCAGCAGGTATATTATTCTTCTTGCTTAGATTGAGTTGATTGTAAAACTTGGTGCATCCATAATTTTTACAAAGTTTTATATGTTCTGTGCTCCATTTCAGAAATCAGATATCAAGCTGTACATTTTTTGTACTAAGTTGGGGGAGCCTATGTAATACCCTCAGCTTCGGCGTCGGTGTCGGCGTCCCAGGTTAAGGTTTTTAGAGCAGTTTTCTTTTCAAGTACTTCTATGGCCTATATTAGTCAGAGATGCATGGAGGATGCTTCTAGTGTGTTTCATTGTACCAGTCAAGGTTTCAGATGCTGCAGTTTCAGCTAAAGAATGACCAGGTTAATGGTTTTGGAGCAGGTTAAAGTTTTTGGAGCAGGTCTCATTTCCAAGTAACTATAAGCCCTATATTGACCATACTTGCATGGATGATACATTTAAGGATGTACACTACTGGAATCGCTTCGGATGCTGGATCTGACCTACATTTTCCGGATGATTGACTAGGTAAAAGTTTTTGGAGTAGATCTCATTTCCAAGTAACTATAAGCCCTATATTGACCAAACTTGCATGGATGATACATCTAAGGATGCACACTACTGGAATCGCTTCGGATGCTGGATTTGATCTATATTTTCCGGATGAGTGACCAGGTTAAAGTTTTTGGAGCAGATGTCATTTCCAAGTAACTATAAGCCCTATATTGACCAAACTTGCATGGATGATACATCTAAGGATGCACACTACTGGACTTGCTTCGGATGCTGGATCTGACCTAGATTTTCCGGATGAGTGACCAGGTTAAAGTTTTTGGAGCAGATGTCATTTCCAAGTAACTGTAAGCCCTATACTGACTAAACTTGCATGGATGATACATCTAAGGATGCACACTACTGGACTTGCTTCGGATGCTGGATCTGACTTAAATTTTCTGGATGAGTGACCAGGTTAAAGTTTTTGGAGCAGATGTCATTTCCAAGTAACTATAAACCTTATATTGACCAAACTTGCATGGATGATACATCTAAGGATTCACACTACTGGACTTACTTCGGATGCTGGATCTGACCCACATTTTCTGGATGAGTGACCAGGTTAAAGTTTTTGGAGCAGATCTCATTTCCAAGTAACTATAAGGCCTATCTGAACCAAACTTGCATGGATGATGCATCAAGGGATAAACAATCTCAAATTTGCTTCGGATGCTGGATTTGACTTACATTTTCTGGATGAGTGACTAGTTTTAAGTTTTCAGATAAGTCTATTCCCAAGTAACTGCAAGCCCTATCAGACCAAAATTGCATAAATGTTGCATCTAGGGATGCACACTCCTAGATTATTAGTTCAGTGTGGGACTTTGCCTTACTTAAAGACAACATTCGTTGAGGTGAGCTCTGTAATCTCTGATTACCTATGTTTATACATGAGTATTTACTACACTGTATTTTTTACCTGTTTGTATGTTTGTCTCTGATTTTCAATATTTTTTCAGTGCAAAGGTCAATGCATCATATTTCATGGAAGTTACCCTATTTAGAATTCATTATAATTATAAGGTTAAATATGATTTTGTCACCACATTTTATTTTATTTGCCATTGTGTACATCATGTTTGAGGACAATTTTTTTCCATGTACATGTAAATCTGGTGTGGTCACTTGCCCACGTGGCTCAAAACTTGATTTTTTATTAATTTGATTTTCGATTTTACACTGATTAAATTTCTAGGATGGCTGTAAATTTCCTCCCGCCAAGAAAGCCAGGAGATCAGAGAACAGAAGAGTTAGTTTTGCGGATACTTGTCAAATCAAGTGAGCATCATTTACACATTACTTTCAAATCTATTTTGTCAATGCCTTCGAAAATCCTGGCAATTTAATTTGCAATGTCTTGGTAAAGATAAGAAATCGGCATTACTTCCAAATGACATAAGTTGACTGAAGTTGTGTTAACTTGTGCATGCTGATTTTCTAAATTGCAGAGAATTTCCAAAGGACTCTCCAGGGGCTTGGCATAATGAAAATTCAAGTGCAGGCAAGTTTAATTCATTTTAATTTTGCAATTCCCCATGTTTGTACATAAATATGGACAAGGGACATTTTAGATTTAAAAAATAAAAGCTTTAAATAAAGTTTTTCTACAATACATGTAAGAATATTTTTTTTATCTGGTACTGTACAAAATAGATGAATACCAGTATGTATAAAATGTTAACACTAATAAACATATAGAATTTACTGCTACATCATTGACAGAATTTTCTAAATTATTGTTTTGGCTGTTAATTAAATAATGTGTCCTTTTCATATTTTAGAGAATTCTCCAGATTTAGAAAAGTATGTATTCTTCTTGTGTGTGTGCGTGTGTGTTCTTTGATTTTGTTGAAACCCAAAGTAATATTAATTTTCAAAGTTTAGTTTAAAGATACACCTTCGCTCATACAGTACATTGTAGGATACCATGGATAAATGGTTAAAAACATTATTAATATTAAAATCTATGACCAAAAAAAATCAAAACACTAAATTTGATTTATAATTTTCAGCACCATAGAACAGGAAAAACCAGAGATTTCAGGTATTTTTAACATTCATAAACAAACCTCTTATATTAACAAGTTAAAAATTAAATGCTGTCAGTGATGATGCAAATGAATGTAAATATAAAATTTATATAGACGCACAGTGTTATACATTTCATTGATCAGTTTAACTATTAAGCTTATTTTACTGAGACACAGAAATATGCATGGGATAACCAGGTACGTACATGTGAAGGTGGCAATAATTTAAATCTGTTCTCTCATGCAGTAGAGATACATATGCCTATTCTTGTTTAAAAAAAATGCACTAAATTTTTGGTTATAGTTCCTTTTTATTTTGAACACACTTTTTATTTTCCAGGCCTGGACAAACTTCTTACAGGTTCAATACAGCATCCAGGTTTCACTAATACAGATGAGGTAAAACTTCATGTTTTTTAGTTAGTGTATCAAGTGTTTTTTTTTTCTTTCTTTTTCATTTTGAATAAAAGATACTGTACATGTATTTATTGTATTTACATTTATTAATACCAGTAAAAAAAAAAACAATTATACATGTATTAACATGTCATATTTAAAAATAATGTATACATGAAAGGAATATAAATATATACATGTACATGTATTTAATTTGATATGCTGATTTCCTTCCTAAAATGACATGAATTGTAATTTTTTTTTTCTTATCATGTTGAATGTTAGTACAAAGCATTTCTCCTCTTTGATATATTGACTTAAAATACATGTATTAGCTGACATCACTTGCAGACATTCATGAAACAAATCTCTATCTTGTTAGTTTGTATATTTGTACAATGAATTTTTTTTTATTAATCGTCATGATCATATGCATCATTCATGCAATTAAAGTATATTGTTATGTACTTCCATTGAGTTGAAGTATCGGGTTTTTATATTCTTAGGATGTACAGGAAATCCCCTTTGAGGAGGACCAGCCCCTTGGAGTCCCTGTAGATCCCATCAACCACACTCTGATCACGAACGATGAGATGGAGCTGACTGGATTAGTCGGATTATCCAATGAACCTCCGGATGACTTTGAGGAACTGAAAAGCAAGAGCAGAGTGGATCACAAATTTCTCCAAAGTCTGATTTCATCTGAAAAGAGGACAAAAAGGTAATGCTGACTGCTTCTAAAACATATTTAGGGCCAATTAATTTTTTTGTTTGGTACCTTCTGCCCATGTTCCAAGATGAAAATCAATCATTAAAGATGTCAGCATTTGTGGTTGTAAACTACAAATTTATTATGACTGCGAATGAAAAAGCTGAAGATAACTATTACATGTACTTCTAACCAAACAGTGTGGAGACCAGTATTGGTCACTGAAGAAATTAGGATAATTACATGTATGTAAATGTAAAAGATGACAAATATAATATTTAACTTAATAGTAAATCAATTTTTTAAACCAAAAATTCAAGTTTCTCACATTATGCATTTACATCTTTGCAAAACATCAGAGTTTGATGAAAGATTTTTAATAATATTCATTAAGAGATAAATCATGCACTTTCAAGAGGGAGGGAGACAATTTCCAATGAAAGCAAATTTTGAATGTTCAAACATGTATATCTTGTTATGTGAATTTCCTTTCAGCACCAGTTTACAAATAGAGACACCAGAAAAGTTGTTTCATGCCAAAGCACAGGAGGACCCTGATACATACGTTTACACAACTATGAATCGTTACAGCTGCTCTATGCAATCCACTATGTCCAGTCTCATAACAGGAACCACAACTCTGTCAAGTCAACTGAGTGTAGCCAAGAGAGCACCTCTAACATTGGTGCCATCCTCTCAGAAACCAGAGCTTCTTAACTCAGGAACTGCTGAAAATATGACAGCAGATTTAGCAAGTGAACTTGATGTCCTTTCTAATTTAGAGAAACCCAAAGCTACAGGATTTCTTCAGTCACTCCTAAAAAATCAGAATAAAGATAAAATTGAAAATTTACGGTCAGCTTATTCTACCTCAACTGAGTTTGAAAGAACCCAGGTCTTCACTTCTGGAGATGGCATGGATGAAACAGCAGTTCTGGACAGCACTATATGGACTGTGGAAAAAAGGGATCTGCACAGGTTAGACACATTACAGAAAAGTCATGATGTAGTGGAAAAAATTCATGTTGAAAGCAACTCTGAAGTGACACAAGTCTTTCACGGAGGCGATGCTATGGAGGAAACAAAATTAATTTCAGGGGGAATTTGGATGGAGGAGGAGATTTACAAGCAAGGAAGAGAGAAAACTCAAATATTCAGTACAGATGGAAACATGGAAGAAACGAAAGTGCTCAAGGGAGAAATTTTGACTGGCTCAGATAGAGATGTTGAGGTGACAGTCAATAGTCAAGCAGTTGAAAAACACTTCCAGCAAGGATGGGAGGAAACAAAGATATCTGTAAAAGATGATAACATGGAAGAAACTAAAGCTCTGACTGGAGGAATTTGGACTGGCATTGAAAGAAGTGTTGGGATTACAGGTGGAAAGAGCTCATTAGAGAGTCAATTTAAGCAAGGTGGGGAGGAAACAAGAATATTTGGAAAGGGGGACAATATGGAGGAAACCAAAGCTCTGACTGGAGGAATTTGGACAGACCTTGAAAGAAGTTTTGGGAAGACAAACAGGGAAAACTCATTAGTGAGTGGTTTGAGAAAAGGGGAGGAAACAAAGATATTTGGAAAGGAGGATAGCATGGAAGAAACTAAAGCTCTGCTTGGAGAAATTTGGACTGGCTCTGAAAGTGTTGGGGTGATAGGAAGCAGAAATCCAGTTGAGAAGTGCTTTATGCAAGGTGGGGAGGAATCACAGATTTTTGGAAAGGATGACAATATGGAAGAAACTAAAGCTCTTACTGGGGGAATTTTTACTGACCCTGAAGCAATTGGTGGCAAGGCAGGCAAGGATGATTCAATCATGAATTCCTTCAAGCAAGGTGGGGAGGAAACAAAAAAAGTAGCAAAGGAGGACAACATGGAAGAAACTAAAGCTCTAACAGGAGGAATTTGGACTGCCGAGTCACAGTCAATAGAGAGGACAAAAACTGTCAACTTGATGGAAGAAACAAAAGCTCTAACAGGAGGAATTTGGACTGCTGAGTCACAGTCCATTGAGAGGACAAAGACTGTGAACTTGATGGAAGAAACAAAAGCTCTGACAGGAGTAATTGAGGTCGAGAGTTCAACACAAGTGGATAGGAAAGGAGAAGTAAATAGAATGGGAGAGCAGACAGAGAAGTCTGAAAAACATGTTCAAGATGGGGATCAGAAAGATGTAGCTTCATTATGTAAGAAAGAGCATGAAAGCAAGATGTCTGAAATGGAAGAGGCTGATTCTGATAATGATTCAGAAATCAGCTTTAATTTCAAGAAAACTGAAACAGGAAATACAACATCTCTGCAAGCTGATGATGTGTTTGAAGCAAAGAGAACAGAATTTTTGGTTGAATCCACTGTCACAGAAAAAGAATCGGAAAGATGTGGTGAGGAGGTTATCAGTGACAAAGGTGATGGAAACACTAGAACTTTGGCTGATCTGAAGAACCTCCTCAAGGAACATACTAGTAAATTTGATGACATATTGATGAACCCAGTGGAGGGCTCAACACTAATCAAGGAAAATATCATAGCAAGCAAGAATGAGAATATAGAGACACATGGAGAAAATAAAACATTGATGTTCAGCAATAAAAGTGACTGGCTGGAAGAAACAAAGATGGTGACTGCCAATATCGAGATTGGCTCCACGCAGAACAGCATATCCAAGAATGATATTTTAGATTGGCCCAGAGTTGCAGAAAATAAAACAGTTTTATTTGCTGATAAAAGTGCAGCTATGGATGAAACAAAACCAGTCACTGCTAACTTGATAAGTGACAATGAACCACTGGCTTCTGTTCCTGGGGTTGGTGCCGAAAACAAAATTGTTTCCGAGACTGTTGAAAAATTGCCAACTTTGACTGGAAGTAACATAACACTTACGTTTGGTAACAATAGTGGAGCAATGGAAGAAACCAAAATAAAAACATCGCTTTCAACTGTGCAAAATAGATTAGAAGGAAAAGATGTATCAACTGTCCATGAACTACCCCAATTAGCTGAAAGTATCATGGCAGACAGGAAATCCAATATCAATTTAACTGGGACTCAAAAGACAGATGATAAACAATTAAGTATGTAATATATTTTTCAAACCTCTGCAATCATTTTCCTTTTACTTAGAAAATGTGTTGTTTATATTTTTGGAAAGGAAAAAAAAATTTAGAAAACTCATGTAGATGTATATTCATATACACCTGTTTATAAATTTATAATATAAATACCAGTAGTGTTTATAAGAGTAAAGCAATGATTTTCTTGAAAGCAATTCTTATTTTCTTTTATCCTGATAAGCACACAGTGACATGCATGTATTTGATCATGCTTAGACTTGAAGATTTTTGTACTTTGTAGGTCTTATGATGGAAGGTAATATGGTGGGACTTCTTGAGCAGGCTCCACCTGAGAATTTGTTTACAGATGCCACATTGAATTCCACTGTGACATCCTTTAGACCTGAAAGTACCTCAACCTTAGGTAAAATATGTTGAATTTATGAATTAAAATGGGACTGAAATTAAATTCATTTGTCTCTTTAAATCATCATCATGATCTAGGTAAGAAAATTATTCTATCACAGAATGATATTGCAAGCATCCTCATAAAATTTAGATTCAAAACTGTTCCACTCAAAGTTGGCCAACAATAAGGTTCAAATTGTTTCATAAAAGCACAAAGGAAAAAACGGAGAAATTCTACCAAGGAACAGCAGGCTGGAATCTTTAATTTACAGCTACAGTATTCAAGTATCCTTATTAGGGTCGATTTAAGTTTGTTTAAGTCATGGTTAGTGGTTTGCATAATAGGTTATTTAAAAAAAAAAGTAATTGTGGCTATTACTTTACAGCTTCACCCATAGACTCCACTCAGGCTCTTCTTAATAAAGACTGTGACAACATCACCATGCCCCCTGACAATATAACAGCTGTAGAAGAGTCCCTCATTTCCCAATTATCCATCAACAAGACTGCAGTGGAATGTGACATCACTCAGGTATGACATAAATATCTTGAAAAAGGTTAATTTCAAAGTAGTATTTTTTCCACACGTTTTCCCTGTTTCCCAAGCATAACCAAAAGAAAATAAAAACCAAGTAACTTCATCTCTTTCTTGGGTACTTAAACATTATTTCAAATTCAAACATGGGTTTGTATGAGAAATAAAACTGTGCCTTTATTATTTATGACACAGGATGATATCTGGACAGGCCCAATGACAGCCTTGTCTCTATGTGATTATCTCCAGGTCGTCAAGCCGTCTTGTCTCAAAGCTTCCAAACTTTACGAACTACGCAGAACTAGATGCAGCTTAGTTCAGGAGGAGGTAACTCTGTTCAGCGTTTATGCATTTATTGCCTGTGAGCTTGCAGCTTTTGAACAAAATCCTTTTTTGAACATATATTTTCTGAAGTTCTTGTTGCATATTTAATCATGCTTCTTTTTTCTCATCAGGAAATACCTTGTGATGACCTCAAGAGTAAAGTTTTGGCTGATTTAACAGTGAAGTCCCATATTGAAGCTCAGATGGAGATGAATGCTCAGATGATGGCAGAAGTTGACAAGTATGAAATATTAAATTACTGAGAGTGAATTTTTTTATGAAAATTTTCTTTTAGTAGCAGTGAAACATACATGTACATGTATGTGTTTTTGTGTTAGAGTGCAAGCATGGTATTTTCATAAAGGTAGCAATTGTTTGACAATCTTTCATACAGCACTCTTTTGTATCTTGTTTAATACTGTAAAACACTTTTTATTTGCAAGAATTTTATTTTCCCGTAATTGTGCAAGACTCTCTTAAATTTGTATTATTGAACATTTTATACAACAATAACTAAGTTTAATTAGGGCCCCGCTCTGCGGGTGCCCTATAGTGATCAGTCTCTCCATCCATCTAGCTGTCCTTCCGTCCGTCTGTCCGTGCGAGATCTCTTGTCCAGAGCATATTTTCTCTCTCCTTGGCCCAATCTGGCTCATACTTCACCCACAGTGTGTCTTTAGGTAAAGGGTGTGCAGTGACTTTGAACTATGTTTCTAGGTCTAAGGTTAAGGTCATAGCAGAATTATATGAAAAATCCTTGTCCAGAGCATATCTTCTCTCCCCTTGGTCCAATGTGGCTCATACTTCACTCACAGAGTGCCACTGGTCAAAGGATGTGCAGTGACCTTGAATGAAGTTTCTAGGTCAAGTGTCAAGGTCAGAAATAGCCTCTCTGTTTAAATTTTTGTCCAGAGCATATTTTCTCTATCCTTGGCCCAATCTGACTCATACTTCACCCACAGAGTGCCTTTGGGTAAAGGGTATGCAGTGACCTTGAACCATGTTTCTAGGTCTGAGGTGAAGGTCAGAGCAGAATTATATGAAAAATCCTTGTCTGGAGCATATCTTCTCTCCCCTTGGTCCAATGTGGCTCATACTTCACTCACAGAGTGCCACTGGTCAAAGGATGTGCAGTGACCTTGAACAAAGTTTCTAGGTCAAGGTCAAAAATAGGCTACCTTACATTTTTCATGCTGAAAGCGGGGCTCTTTGAGATGGCCACCATCTCAATGATATCTAGTTAAAATTTCTTCTTGCTTTTAAATACTAAATAACTATCTTGCGAAAATAAGGTATCACAAAAAAATGGTGATCTACATTAAGTAACAATTTGCATGTCGTATATACACATTATAGGAATACTAAACCTCACTTATTATCAGAATAACTTATTATAGTATGTCCCCAAGTTAAAAAAAAACAAAATTGCATTGGTCAACAATTGTTATTATGGATAATGAGGAAAGAGATTTCATTTGAACATGAATGTACAAGAAATGTCATGTTTGTATGGAAACTTCTATTTAGATTGATTTTTGTTGAGAACTTGAAGGATAGAAATGCTGAATGTGTAAAATACATGTAATAACCTTACAGGAAGAAAGTAGAAATTGAGAAGTTGGAGGAGAAATGGTTGACAGAACCACCAGAGATATTTCACTATGCTCAGACCTGCAGTCCAGCTCAGGTATATATGTACAAAATCAGTGTATTGTAAATGTGGGAGATATATATATGTGTACTTACTTGTTGTCCTAAGACATATTTGTATTAAACTATTGATTCAAGTACATATATACAAGATTTTATTGCATTTTCTGATTTGTGTAAGATTTGATGTATCCAAGAAAAGGTAGGTAAGAGACCCTTTATGGCCTCCCTTTTGGGATGACTCTCAGAATAAAAAAAATATTCATAATCAAACACCTTTTATTTTGCATGCATTAAATTATAAGTCAAATGAATGTATACACAAATTTACTGGAATCGTACATTTTCTTCATTCATTTAATTTCAGTACTGTAGTATTTTCAAAGAGCAAGCTGGCCAATTGGCCAGTCTTATGTACTGCATGCACTAGTGATGAAAACATCTCATGTTTGAAAATAAAAGCTAGGCTCACTTGAGCTATTTTTTTCCAAATCTGATCTCAAATCTTATGAAAAGAGGAGATTTTATAAAAAATGCTCCAATTCTTTTGACCTCTTTGATTGTTTTAAATCAATATCAATGCTAGTTTTGATGGAGGTGTCCTTTTATTGCTTAAAAAACAGTTGGAACTGATTTTATTTTTATTTGAAATTAGGGACCAAATTCTGCCCTTACCTTACCAAGTTCTTTGTTTTGGATCTGCTTAATATTTGTTGTTCTTGTACTGAAAATTGTGCTAATATCATTTCACAGAAAGTAGAATTAAGGGAGAAAATGGTAGCAATGAGTAATGTGTGTACCAGGCTTGGAAAAATTGAATGGAAAAAGGCCTCAGTACAAGCAGCTGCTTTAGAGTTACAGAAAATTCAGGTCAGTGTGCTACAGTAGATTATTCAATGCATCATCTGTGAAGTATTACTGAAAAATAGAACATCTGTGAATTAGAAGCAAGAATTTCGCGTGGGATTGATTTCTGTGATAGCCAAATTATATAAGTTTTGAAAACTGAATAAAATGTGTTTAAAGGTGTTGGTATGCAGGAGGATATTTATGAGAAAGCATTCTTATCGTGCATTTAGCGTAAATTACCCCCACACTTAAATTTCCATGTCTACAGTATTACAGTGTACATAATTTCAAAATATTTAAATACATGTATATTCTGAATACAGTAATTATTAATTTTGTACAGGTACTTTTCATTAGTCTATGATGTGTAATTTTTAGTAAAGTTTACTCTGCTCAATTTAGAAAATATCAAAATATATTCAAACCATATGACTGATATTTTCATACATTTATATCAAAAGTTAAAAGTGAAATGACACTATTTTCTCCCCTTTCTTCCAAACAGGAAGGCAACAGGAAGCTTAATTTAGAAGTGGGAGAAATCCTTCAGATGGCCACAGATGCTATGCAAAACATAGAAGTTGTAAATCAAGGTAAAAGAAAACAAGAGAAGGAGACTACATATTGATTTATAAATTTTTGCAAAGAAATTCCAATGCACAGTCTACCTCTCCATCTATAATTCTTCAACATGTGTAGCTATGTACTGTAGGTGAATATGTTTGTTTGAAGACATGGAATAAATGAGTACTGTGTATGGAAAGAGCTTTAATTTTGTCACGTCATGGATCTTTGTTTTGAGTAAGGCTAAATTAAGAGGTTTAAAGATTGCCATAGTACAAATAGAAAGGGATGCAGGTTCTTGTACCTTTTGCACTACATAAAACTACACTGTAATTTACATGTACATGGCTTATATTGCTAGCTACAGGAACATTTTAATGATTTATAGATGACACATGTATATTTTTGCAAAAGTTTGTCTCCTATTTCTTTTTATATTATTGCAGAGTTGGAAGAGATGGATGAAGAAATATTAGAAATGAAGCAAACTCCTGTACCATCAGAGCAGGAAATCCAGGAGTATTTAGCAGAAAAGGCCTTTATAGAGAAGAAACAAGCAGGTAAGTTTCCTAGTGCATGGTGCTTCCAATTGGCATACATGTACAACTTACAATGTCTCAGATCTTTAAGAAGTTAATGAAGGTATGGAAATTTTTAAGTCGGTGGTGATTCCAAGGTTTAACTGCTTTAAGATTTTTAAAAAGTGAAAACTGAAATTCTTGAAAATGTTCTTTGTAGAAAAAATGGTAATAAAAAGTATATGTAGTAGTTGATGGAATGCTGATTGTGTAAACAAATGAATACAATTTTATTTTTGATGTGCACTTTGGCTTTAACCATATTATTGGCCATAAGGCCAGATAATAAATGTATGTACTGTATATACAGTGTATCTGTATGTACACTGTATATGGTATGTACCGTATATGATATCAGATGGGTAGGTGTACATGTTTGAACCGCTTTTGTGTTCTGTTTACAGAGTGTTTGATTTAATTAAGTTTTGGTAACTTTTCTTTTGACAGATTTAACAAACATGAAAAATGAAGATATAAGTATGGCTGAGTAAGTTTATATAATAAGCTCTGCTAATTCAGACTTGTACATGTGTGTGTTTGAGTGTGTGAGATTTCTGGACTATTATTCTTGAAGTGCTGAAATTATTAATTGATCTGTGAGATTTTAATCAATCACTACCTTTTTTCTTTAGGGTGATGTAACAGTTTCAGCTGATGTAAAAATATCTCTTAAGTTTAAGGCCCTTAGAAAATTCTGAAAAATCCCCCAAAAATATGACATGAGAGAACACACAATATTATTGTTTTACATGTAATTTCCAAACTTTATAAATATTTCTGCATGTTGAAACTTTCTTTTAATGTATTTGACCAGTAGATATAGCAGGGTGCCAGTTTTGATCAACTTAGGGCTGATTTTCAGTGGTTCATGTATTTTGGTCAGATAGCCTTTGGGTAGTTCTATTCTAGAAAATATGGTAGTACCTTTGGAAAGGTTTATAAAGAACAGATTATTTTAGCAAAGTTTGGGCTTACAGCAGGCTTACCCTGGGATGTGGGAGAAAAAAACCCTGATTAACTTTTTAAAATTTTATAGCCAAGCATTACATATACCGTAGCTTCCATTGTGAGAGATTTATGGAAAACATTTCACACCCGCTATACAAATTTATGCATGTTTTATCAGAGAATCCATTTTTCCCCAGGACTAATAGAAGGCTGTCTGAGGAACATGCAGCTCTGGCTGAGAAGTTGTCATCAGATGTCAGACAGGAGTCACAGAAAGACAACATGCAGGAACTTCAAAACCAAACACAGAAAATACGCAATGAAATTCAGCTTTTATATGGGTCTGTTTTCAAAATAGAAATCCTTTATTTCAGTTTTTTAAGGGAATTTATTAAAGGAATTTGTGAATATAAACGCAAAGGACTATATTCTGTGATGACCAATATTTGCCCCCAAAATCAAACTTTGATGAAAAAATGTATACCCCCGGTAATTAATAATGTTATAAACCAGGGGGATATTGGCAGACGTCAAAGCATTACCTTTTTCCATCAGTCATGACGTCATATGTTAGATATGAAGTCAAGAAGACAATGTAAATTCAAAATTTTAATGATTTTAAGAGGAAAATTGTATTTTACTTCGATATTCTGATTAAAAGTCAATGAGCCTAGGTCTACTACAGCTCGATCTTTTGATACATTGTATATTGTGTAGAATGATATATGTAATACCAATGAAATTAGTGAATATCATACTGGAGCAGACTTGCACTCTTGAAATTTTATGGTCAAACTAGAACAAATTTTGTCCTTTTTCTTAATAGAAAATCCAAACAGTTTGTGATGTTAAAGAAACAAGAATTTCTGATAATCTACTTTTAATCTAAAATATTTTTTGTTAATTCAGATTGTTTATACAGTTTTGTACATTTTCTAGAGATTTTCAACATTTGACTTTTATGGGAGCAAAGAATATGCTTTTACCATATAAATTTCTTCAACAGGTTTACATGCATTTAATGTACACTTTTTCTTATGGGCTTTAAAGGATTTACTGTGTCATTTCATCTGGTTTGTGTCATAAGAATATATTTAAAACTTAAAAAAAAAAACAACAAAAAATTTTATTTTGATGTATTGATATTGCAGAATGAGTGGATGGTATTTTGAAGAGTCTAGTTTCAGAACTGGTCATAAAACTTTTATGTTCAGCAGAAGGAAATTAAGACTAGAAATAAATCATGAAGAGGAAAGGATATCATCCATAGAAATGATGGCTTGTGACAAAGGTATAGGAAGCAGATATGAATTAAAAAATTAAGGGAATTCTCATGGAACTCATGATATTTGTTGCTATTATACATGCACATGAATTTCTTCTAATGAAATGCTGTTTATTGCTGTTACAGTAAAACTTGTCTAAACTGGACACCACTGGTTCCAAAAAACAAACAGATTAGACAAGTTTTACTGTATTTGAAGGAAAAGTGGGTATCGTTAAACGAATGTTGTGATACTTGTATTGTTTTTCGCAGGGTTATATTTTTATGAGGTTTGTACCGCTTCTTTCAATGTTACACCTAATATTTGTTTACCATCACATATTGTTTGCAGATGTTCAGTGTAGGAGAGAACAATTTTGTTTACGTTTAGCTGAAGAGGCTGTAAATGGGGTGTACTTAAAACAAAAGTACTCTAAACTAAATGATCTTCCTCAGGTATGTTTTCAAACGAATTTCATACCATTTTCTCAAATGTAATTCAGTCTTACAGTCATTTTTCAGAATTAATATACAATTTCATAAAATGAATTTAACGGAAATTAAAGATTCCATGTGTTAATTTCTTTTGTTTGAAACAAAATATTCTATGAATTTAAAACACTTTTTTTTAATTTATGGGGTTTCTGTAACAGTATGAAACAGTGTTCTATAAAAAAAAAATGTTTTTTTTTTTAACAGATATTGCATGAGGTTGGAACTTTGGTATTACAAATGAATGCCCTGCATAATGATTTAATGTTCTTGGAAATGGACCACTACATAGCATACAAATATCCCAGGTAATCAATTTTCCCATACAGTCCAGCAATGGACACAAATACCTTAGGTAACTCACCTCATCTCCCTTCCTCACAGACCTGCAAATAATCTTTCCATGTTTTTCTATGTCTTTACATGTACAGGACAATTCAAACATAAAAATTATGAAGACAATTTGTAGAAAAAATTGTTTTCAATGAAAATGGTTACACTGAAAACCTCTTTGTAATGAAAAATGACAGTGAAGTTTATTCAAAGTGAGATATTTGACTGTGAACCAAAATGAAATATTTATATTACACAATAGTTTTCCCTGGAAACTCTCCTCTAACTACATGTATTTCACATTTCATGTGTAAATGAGACTAGATATGGTGTAGGTGATAAATGTTATGAGAAAAATAAATTATGAAGTGGTAAAAAATACATGGAGATACTCTATGTGATTTTTGGCATTTCATGGTACCATAAATTGCAGTTTTTCAGAATGTGCCACCACACAATGTTCAGTTTGTAAGCATGTGTGTGTGATTCATGTCATTGTGAGATGGGGAGAATTAAAATTATTCAAGTCATGCATTTAACTAAGAAAGAATTTTTTGCTATGATTGTTTTTGTTTGTAGGTCAATCAGTTCAATACTTTTTGCTTTCAGTAATTTAAAATTCATAATTCCTCCTTACATTTTGTTGATACATGTACAGAATTTTCTGTATAGAAGTCTAAACTTTTTAAAAGTACTACCAGGGTATATGTACACTTTGTGTTACAGAATACACTTAGAAGTTTGGTCTCCCAGGAAGAGATGTGTGAGTGTCTCGTTCCACTTCCAGTTTGTAGAGAGCTCTCTGATTTGGAGCATTGAACCCTCGTTGGATGTTGAGTTTGGAATTGTTAGGTAAATGTGTTTATATTTACTGGGAAGTACACGTATACTGACATGGGTCTTCTGGAAGAATTCCTGGATCCACCCATGTGTGCATGTATCAAGAGGTACTTGTCAATGCAACATGTGAAAAAAAATGAAACAATTATAAATCCTCCATACTGACATGCTGTGCTACATAGAAATTTTTGCCTTTTAGGCTATCTAAAAAAGGTTTTGTCCTTCAAATAGGCTTCGTAAAAATGCATCCCATATCAAGTCAAATAAAAAGTGAAATCAAATGAAAATGCAAACCAAATTGACACTATTTCTGCTGAATAGAAATATTTTTATACCCCTGCTCCGAAGGAGAGTGGGGGGTATACTGTTTTACCCTTGTGTGTCTGTCTGTCCAGCTGTCTAGCTGTCTGTCTGTCTGTCCGTCTGTGTGTCTGTCCATAACAAATTTTGGTCACAGTTTTCTCAGCAACTACTCATCGCAGATGCTTGAAATTTTACCACACTCTTTGTTTAGGCATGCCATATGTTGGGATTCATTTTCGTACGAATCCGATGTCAACTTCCTGTTTATCCGTGAGTCTGTCCATTCCATACATAACAAATTTTGGTCGCAGTTTTCTCAGCAACTTCTCATCACAGATGCTTGAAATTTTAGCACACTCTTTGTTAAGGCATGCCATATGTTGGGATTCATTTTTGTACGACTCCGATGTTAACTTCCTGTTTATTCGTGCGTCTGTCCGTACCAAACATAACAAATTTTGGTTGCAGTTTTCTCAGCAACTACTCATCGCAGATGCTTGAAATTTTAGCAAACTCTTTGTTTAGGCATGCCATATGGTCGGATTCATTTTTGTATGAATCCGATGTCAACTTCCTGTTTATCCGTGGGTCTGTCTGTACCATACATAACAAAATTTGGTCGCAGTTTTCTCAGCAACTACTCATCGCAGTTGCTTGAAACTTTAGCACACTCCTTGTTTAGGCATGCCATATGTTGGGATTCATTTTTGTACGAATCTGATGTCAACTTCCTGTTTATCCGTGTGTCTGTCCGTACCATACATAACAAATTTTGATCGCAGTTTTCTCAGCAACTTCTCATCACAGATGCTTGAAATTTTAGCACACCCTTTGTTTAAGCATGCTATATGTTGGGATTCATTTTTGTATGAATCCAATGTCCACTTCCTGATTATCACTGTGTCTGTCCATAACTGAACTTTATATTCACATCAGAGCGGGGGTATTATTAGTGAGCATTGGCTCACAGACTTCTTGTTAAAAATCTTAATATTGTGAAGTTTGAATCATGATTTTTCGGTTTTGTACACACAAGTAGGGAATCTTGTTTTTTTTTTCTAATTAATTTTTTTTTCAGGAATGATGCAGCGTTATCACAGATCAAACAAGTGGAACCAGGAGACTCCTACCTCAACAGAATGTGTGCTGCCATTGATCTCGACTCTCTTCCTGAGGACACTAGCAATAAATGCCCAGTGTGTGGTTTACATATGCTTCAGTGTTAACATCCATTAACTGAGTGACAGATTTTAGATGTTGCAGATTTTTAGTAGTGTATTTATTTGAACCATGAGCCATATTTTCAGATTTGTGGACTGTCATCTTTTACATGGCAGAGAACTGGTCTGATATATTCTTAGAAGAATGAAAAGTCTATAAACTTAGATTTTCAATGACTCATCTCAATTTTTGTGATTTGCATGATTAAGGCAGCTTTTTATTTTATTTTTAGCTCACCTGATGCAAAAGCTGAAGTGAGCTATCAATAGTATTGACTTGTGACTGCAGATTCATAAACCAAGGTTAATTGAATACTCTTTTTATTCAAGTACACTGTATATTGCATCTGAGAAAAATAAAACATAATTTTATACCATTTTTTGTATTTTACCTACATGTACATGGTTTTATTACAGGAAAAATTATATTTACAAAATAGAGAGAGAGAGAGAGCACTTGCTTAAATATAAATGAAATTATACATACTTTGGGAAAAAAAATCTATTACTTGTAATAAAAATCATTTATCATTAAATGCCTAGCAGAGTTAGCTTCATGAGAGGTACTTCACTCATGGGACATAAGTATTAGAAGTAATTCAAACCAAAATCTGATTCTCATATGTACTGTGGAATCATTAGAAATCATGGTGGCTCAATATTCGTGGAAAATTCGTGGATATCCCTCATCCATGAATTAACATCTACCACAAATTAAGAAACTTGGGCTTCAGAGTCATCTTTCCTTTTGTACAAACGTGTGAACACACGGAATTATGTCCACATGGACCTGAAGACTATGCAATCCATAAATAAATAGATAAATCCAAAATTGGCCACCATAAATTTTATTGATTCCACACTGTGTGTGTATATATACAGTTGAACTTCGGTATCTTGAACATGGATATATACCATAGATATGTCGAAGTGATTGAGAAGTCCTAACCATGTATTTCTTAAGTATTATATATATATATATATATATATATATATATATATATATATATATATATATATATATATATATATATATATATATATAACCGGGTATATATATGAAATCAGAAATTCCATGTCTTTTCTAAACCCTCAGTTTAAACATGTACAGTTGAACTTCAGTATCTCGAACACTTATATCTCGAATACCATGGATATGTCGAAGCGATTTGGAAGTCCAAACTACTCATTTTTTAAGTATTTTACTCCCGATATCTCAAATCCTCGGATATTTCAAAGTTTTTTCTCGGTCCCATTGAGTTCGAGGTAGCGAGGTTTGACTGTACATGTATTTACTGGCTGTTTTAGGAAATGCATTTTACACTTTTTAGCTCACCTGAGCTGAAAGCTCAAGTGAGCTTTTCTGATCACATTTTGTCTGTAGTCCGTCTGTCTGTCCATCTGTCTGTAAACTTTTCGCATTTTCGACTTCTTCTCCAGAACCATCTTCACTAGCCAAGGGTTTCTGATCCGCTACTCTCCTCATAATCCATAGGCCTATGGTGCTGTCAAAAGTTGGACCTTTTTTCTCGAGTTGTGATTGGAGTTGATATAGATCGACCAATCAGCAACTGTTTTTTGTAAATGACGATATCTGCGTTTGGGATATATCTTGACTCTTTAGTCTTGGAAATGAAAAACAAACTAAACAAGGATCCGTAAGATAACATATCATTCTATAAATAGTATGGTGTCATCCAATCTTAAGTTGAAGTGCAAATAATGTGACCTGGAACCTATATTACAGATGTAGATTTGCACCCTAAATAACAAGTAAACATCACATCACCTTCTTAATAATTCTCTAAAAACTATCATGTTTAAATTTGCTTTTTATTTCTATCGATAACGCAATCTGTGCGTGTGTGGTAAGATTCGAGATCATGTGAGGTAAACATCCCGTCTTTTGACAGCACCATATGCCAAGGGTTTGTGAGGAGAGTAGCAGATCAGAAACCCTTGGCTAGCGAAGATGCTCCAGAACCACTGGGCCAATTTCAACCAAACTTGCCACAAAGCATCCTTGAGTGAAGGGGATTTAGATTTGTTCAAATGAAGGACCACACCCTCTTTCAAGGGGAGATAATTCAGAAATAGTGAAAATTTGGTGGCATGTTTTAAAAATCTTCTCAAGAACATCTTCGCTAGCCAAGGGTTTTCGGTCCACTCCACTCCCCATAATGGGGAGCGGAGTGGACCGAAACCCTTGGCTAGGTAAGATGTCTCAAGAACAACTGGGCCAAAAAAGTTGAAACTTATTGGAAACCTTCTTTACATAGGATAGTTTCAAGTTTGTTCAAATCATGACCCCCGGGGGTAGGTTGGGGCCACAATGGGGGGGGGGGGGTGGTTTAAATAGGAATATTTAGGGGAAAAATCTTTCAAAATCTTCTCAAGAAAAGCAAAGCCATGATTAGCCATATTGATATGGAAGCATCCTCAGGTAGTGTAGATTCAGATTTGTTCAAATCATGGCCTCCGAGGGGTAGGGTGGGGCCACAATGGGGGATCAAAGTTTTACATAGGAATATATTGGGAAAAAATCTTTCAAAATCTTCTCAAGAAAAGCAAAGCCATGATTAGCCATATTGATGTGGAAGCATCCACAGGTAGTGTAGATTCAGATTTGTTCAAATCATGGCCTCTGAGGGGTAGGGTGGGGCCACAATGGGGGATCAAAGTTTTTCATAGGAATATATTGGAAAAAAATCTTTCAAAATCTTCTCAAGAACAGCAAAGCCTTGGTTAGTCATATTGATATGGAAGCATTCTCAAGTAATGTAGATTCAATTTTGTTCAAATAAAGACCCCCGGGGGTAGGGTGTGCCACAATGGGGGATCAACGTTTTACATAGATTTATATTAAAGAAAAATCTTTCAAAATCTTCTCAAGAAAGCAAAGCCCTGTCTAGTCATATTGATATGGAAGCATCCTCAGGTAGTGTAAAATTCAAGCCCCCCCCCCCCCCCTCCTCTGTAAACTTTTCAATGCTGAAGTGATTTGTGTTTTCCTAGCCAATGTGCTCAGGTGAGTGATGTGGCCCATGGGCCTCTTGTCTACTTGACTATTACCCTTATGAAAAGCAAGATGACTAAATATATGATTAAAATATTAGTGTATAAATATGTATGCTTTTAAAACAACACATTTTACAAGGATTTTTTTTACTACTAAGCTGACATTTGTCATACACTGATTTCCGATTCGTGGCATGACTTGTTGCAATGTCTGTCTAAAATTCGATTTTTTAAAATTTTTTTCTTTCTTTTTTTTTTTTTGCAATTGAAGTTTGTCAGACTTATCATTTTAATACCAAGTGTAGAGCTCCTTGGTGTAAAACCTCCTCCTCATCAACCATTTTAAATGGAAACTGAGTCTGTTCAAAACAATGGATGTACAAATTATCAAACAGTACTCACTGAGTATAAGTGGGTAAGGTAAACATTGGATTTACTGTACACCATATTTTATGATTCATAGTTAAAATTATCTCACCAAAAACGCAGTCAGTAAATATGTGTAAAAAGGATTGAAAAATTCAGTAAATACATTCTAACTGATATTAATATACCTATTTCCAAAGCAGAATAGAAATTTCATATACAGTAAACTTCGGTATCTCGACCACTTATACCTCGAATACCATGGATTTGTCGAAGTGATTTGGAAGTCTCAACCCCTTTTTCTTCAAGTATTTTACCCTGGATATCTTGAACCCTTGGATATCTCGAAGTTTTTTCTCAGTCCTTTGAGTTCGAGATAACGAGGTTTGACTGTAATTCAGGAAATACATGAAATTCATGTTTACACATATTTACTGTAACATATATCATTACAGCTGTATGTATCATGATTTAGTTTTACCTATGTACCCAGATTTCTTGAAAACGAACAAAAAATGGAGGAGTAGTGTTTCTGAAAAAAAAAGTAACTTTATCAAGTCTACATCTGAATGAAGTTTTATTGAAATTCGACCAAAACTGTAGGAGGAATAGCATTTTGAGAAATCATTTATGACAAAACATAATAATAGACAGACACCTTATAAAAGCAAAATCACTTTCATCTGTGACCAGTACAATTGAGGAAAAAACTGTATTGTAAAACATAAAATCACTGAGACTTTTTTTTTAATGGAAAACTCTGTTAATTAAAGAGGCTGGGGGATTGTGGCCATTTTTAGACTATATTGATCTCCTTTAGAAGAAGAGCTCCATATGAAGATATAGAAAATGATCAAATTTTAAAACTAAAATTTTTGAAATTTTTCTTTGCCAAATGATAGTTGACAGCTTAAGATATCATATCTAAAAAATTAAGTTAAATCTGGTGGTTAATTTGTGGTTAATTTGTTGACTCCCCAGCCTCCTTAATATGTTATTTTTTTGTCTTTTATTATTGTTTAAAAATCAAACCAATACTGATTACATTACAGAAAACACCTTTAAAGGTGATTCTTGATTCATTGCTGGTGGTATGATTTTTTTACTGACGTAAAATTATATCACTCCATATACACGAATATTTTTCCATTTATTTTTGTCATTTTATCAAGGCTAAAGAATTATAAAACGGCATAATCAATTATATTATACTTTCATGTAAATTAGTTGAATCTGATTCGACGAGAAACATTTGTTAAAAAACACTAATACCCGCTGAATAATGAAGCCACGCCCTCCAGCATAGCAACAGTCAACATTGCTTGACGACGGGTGTTATTCCAAAAAAATATTGACTGAGCAGAATTTATGCGCGCGGTTCACTGTAATATGTATTTGTATAAAACATTCAGTATAATATAATAAATACTGCATGTAGTTGAGTAAAACATTGAAAATTTTCACACCTCGAAAACTATTGTCAACCTCGGCTGCGCCTCGGTTGACAATGGTTTTCTTGGGGTGAAAATTTTCAATGTTACACTCAACTACATGCAGTATTTATATAATAGATGTACTCTAGTACATACAAATGTATTTCTAGTTATTCACTAATATTATACATTTATTGCATGATAGTGAGGGAAATATGAAGATTTATTCAGCCAAGAAATATCATATTCCCCGAGGGCTTCGCCCGCGGGGAATATGATATTTCTTGGCTGAATAAATCTTCATGTTTCCCGAACATTCATGCAATGAATTGTTTATTATACCGAAACAAGCAAAAACTTTGAAATAAACATAAACTTTCAAATTCTGCACCGCTCTCAAATTCACTTTCATTTTTAACGTAAAGTTACTGAAACCCTTTGACACATCACTAATCATCAATTTTGTGACGTAAACCAGGCTATTGTGACGTCTACTACTCTCGGGAGTTTTCTTTCAACGAACGATAACTATTGCGGGAAAATGCACTAGGTATCCGAGA